AATGAAGTTCTCAACCAACAAAACTTAATAAAAATACATATATTAAAGGTATTCCAATGTGCAACTCGTATTTGACATCACTAAAATGCTCCATATTTAGCATGAATCTGATAGTAAATCGAATGAATGTGAAATCATTTCCTTGGTAACTAAAAACATGTTATAGCATTGCATCCACCAATTAACATGTTGTTTGTCGAATCACGACAGGTTTTCACACGCCCGTGTCAATAGTTAACATTGTGAATTCTTCTAATTATCATAATGTCAAAGTGACCAAATCGTAATAAGATTTGTACCATGTCGTTCTTTCTAATAAACATCTACCATTGCCATTGAAGTGGAACTTGCACCTTCCATGTTGAATAAACCAATTTTCGGGGGTACTATGGGTGGCTCCTCCTACCACAACCACCACTGGCGCAACTTAACAATTGGTTTTCTGGGGTCTCCTAACCCAGCCATACACCACCAGCGTCCCAAACCTTCCGCACCTTTCATTTTGAACAAAATCTACCTAGCTTCCGGACTAAGGCTATGTAGTGTTTTCTATATGATATTCCCAGATCTCAGATGGCAGAAGACTTAATAACACACTAGACTATGTAGTGTTTTCTATATTATATTCCCAGATCTCAGATGGCTGTAGACTTAATACCACGCTAGTCTATCTAGTGTTTTATGCCATGGGGAATGTTTAGACTGATTTGGAGAATGAGAGGACTGGGGCTTTACGTCCACTTGACACAAACTAGGTCACTTCGGGACTAACACATGGTTCAATTTTATTTCAATAATTCGTTTTCGCGTAGGAGTTTTTAGCAGTGGGAGGGAACCGGAGGACCCGGAGAAAACCCACGAGGTTAGACAGGCGACACTACTACTTGTCACGTAAAACTAGACTGTTTTTGTTTCGCGTTAGCAACATAATCTTTCTATTGTTTCAGAATCGATAATAATTTTATAAGAAACTTGTTAAAAGTTGTATGATTGGAAAACAGAGAGAGAAAGAAATGGGGTTTAACGTCCACTCAACACTCGCTAACCATTCGATAATTGAATAACCTGTATCAAAGATACTCTATAGCATCCTTCAAGTTCATGTATCCTTCGGCAATGCTCTTTAAATTATTTTACAAAAAAGTTCTTTCAATGGAGAATGATATCAACTATAGCTGAAATATATTTGCTTATGGACTAAAGTAAAGAATACAGTTATAGCTCAGAGAGAACGATGCTAATAAATCTCAACGAGTATTTGTTGAGTAGCGTTTATTTGATCCCTTCTTCTTAAGATTAATACAAAGTGTTTACATTTGATAAATTGGTAAATAAAACACGAGAGCGCACATTTATATATGACTTCAAGGCATATTCGCCCACGACATAAAAGTTGTGCCTAACATGAGGACAGATGATTAAATCTGGTAAAGAAATATAATACAAAATATCATTTAACAGATGATTAAATCTTGTAGAGGAATAAAATACAAAATATAATTTAACAGATGATTAAATCTTGTAGAGGAATAAAATACAAAATATAATTTAACAGATGACTAAATCTTGTAGAGGAATAAAATACAAAATATCATTTAACAGATTATTAAATCTTGTAGAGGAATGAAATACAAAATATCATTTAACAGATGATTAAATCTGGTAAAGAAATAAAATACAAAATATCATTTAACAGATGATTAAATCTTGTAGAGGAATAAAATACAAAATATCATTTAACAGATGATTAAATCTTGTAGAGGAATAAAATACAAAATATAATTTAACAGATGATTAAATCTTGTAGAGGAATAAAATACAAAATATAATTTAACAGATGATTAAATCTTGTAGAGGAATAAAATACAAAATATCATTTAACAGATGATTAAATCTTGTAGAGGAATAAAATACAAAATATCATTTAACAGAAATAAGATGAGAGAAGGGAGAGAAATGAAACGAATTTTGTTTTATGGCACGTCAGCACCAACCGGGCTATATGGCACGTCAGCACCAACCGGGCTATATCGCGTCAGCACCAACCGGGCTATATTGCGTCAGGTGAATTATTTGAGACAGATTAAATACAATCACAAGATAAATGTATATTTAAAAATATAGAAACAACATATCACAGTTCAGTTCAGTAAATAATTAAAATCATATCACAAAACATTATAAAATATATCACAGTAAATTTAATATAATAAATTACAATAAATATGGTTAAATATCATTATTGACAATTTAAAATTTATGATAAAAGTCAGTCTCTTTTCGAACGTTTAGCAGTTTTCCATATAAACCCGGCTGGGCAAACAGATTGTGAAAACACTGGCAAGGATAGTATGTTTTTCTTATTTCTTTGAGATACAAGGGGACTTGACAGTACTCACATTCTGGTTGAGACTCTCGCTTTAAAATGCAAATATGAGTTAATGAAAATATGCTAGAGCGACATAAAACAACTTCATCTCTCCTTGTAGTAGTTGCCAGTGGTCATATATGAAAACGTTGATGGCAGATTTCAAATCGGTGAAAGGTTAAAGAAATTGTGATATAGGAAGATCTAAAGCAGACTTGGCAGCAAAATCTGCTTGATCATTCCGCCTTATACCAACGTGACTGGGGAGCCAGCAAAAGACAACGTAAGATAGTAGCAGACGATAAATATCTACTACTAATGGGTGTTAGAGCTGTTTATTTTTAATCGTTTGAAGCGAGGTAAAGAATCAACAAAGATGGCGTGCTAAGGAAATATCAATCGACAAACATTTGTGACAAATCATAAATTGGCCTCGAAAGTCTGAGAAGAAAATAACTTTGTAGAATCAGTAAGGATATGGTTATGTACATATTATGAAAGCAATCAAAGTCGCCATCTGTAATCTATGCTAACTAATTCTGAATATATCGATTAAAACAATTCTTATCAGTCAGGGGTAATAACTCTTGACTTTAATCTGGGAGAACGCCAATACTAACTATTCTTGAAAATGTGATGAAAATCGGTTCAGAACTTAACTTTATAGGATGGGTACAAATGAATCCCCGGGCTAAATTAACCCCTTAGCATTGCACACGTTACCATATGACAAATATGTTAGTCCCATAACGACCGAAGTATTTACGAGCCATTATTTCATTCCATTCTATGCTCTCTTGACAAGGTAAGTTAAATTAACTCTCTTGTCAGGGTAAGCTAAATTTACTCTCTTGTCAAGTTAAGCTAAATTAAGTCGGTTAACAAATTGTTTTTGACGACCCAAAGGATAAGTTGAAAGACAAAGTATGGCCCGGACATCGTCGATGAGAGGATTTCTATCTTATAAAACAAGTTCACAAAATGTGACGGATCTAGTAAAGAAGATGATTTATTAGAGTGTGTGGGATGAATGCCTTTCTTTCGGTAAACACACACTGTGAACTGGGGGGGGGGGGGGCTAACTACCATTGTCAGTGGGCGGTTGTTGAATGATGTAGTTAAAGGTAGTGTTCCATATACATTTGTTGTTCTATATTCTAACAATAATAACAAACACGGACAGCCACCTTTAAAAACATTAAAGGGACGATCCCAATTTGAACAGAGTCTCAAAAATAAAAGTTTGTGTACGTATGAAATTTAACCTTAAAAAGACGCCACAAACGCCACATTTGAGATTGTAACTAATACTAACAAATGACAATTGTGAAAGGGTTAAACACGACTAAAAGATAACTTCCAAATTCATGATATTTATGACGTAAATTATTCTATATTCATAGCATTCACTTGTCGCCTTTCCAGAATGTGATCATATATGTATATCATCTTAAACATCCATGTGAATGATATGAAATAATTACACAAGTCATGCTTTGTATTGATCAAGATCTTTTGAACTAGTTTATTTTTCATTTTCTTTTTTTGGTGAGTTCTTCATGTCTTATCCCTTCCATATAAAGTATTATTTAAGTTCATTTATTTATATACATTTAAATATATTGGAGTAGACTTTTATCAAATGTATTAAATATTATTTAAGTTCATTTAAGTTCTGGTGTCTTATTCATTATAGATTGTTATTTAAGTTCATATATTGTATATTTAGTATTTGTGATATCGCCCCTGTAGTATGTGACATTGTCCCCGAGCGTGATTTGAATCATACATGTGTCCCTGTTATCTACAATATTGTATATTTGTACTAGGAATGCCAGGACAAACGTGGACCAATTCCGTTCAGTATTTATAAAGATATGATGCAGTGACATTACATCGATCAATACGTCTCATGATGTAAATGGTACATCAGAAAAGTAGGACGTTAAACCCCATTTTATATCATGTAAATGGTACATCAGCTTTACTTCTTCTATTTTTGTCTCGTCTCGCTTTTTTCTCTTGACAGAATTTATACACATCTCTACATCTCCCCATGTGGAACTTTTCGTAATCACCAGTTAACAAGTCTTTGTCTGATGACATCATAATATTTTAATCAACAGTAAACAAATCTTTATATTGTCGGATGACATCATAATATCATAATTGATAGACCTGTTTTAACTCGATTAAATCTATGCGGGTGATTATCTAGAGTTAGTATTTTGATTTAATGAAATGTTAAATAATCAGTCTGGATATATACTAGCGTGGATTAAGGTGTGAGAAATTGGATATTTTCAGACAAAATGCTCATCACGCATCGTTAGTTTAAATACAAAGAATACAAAGAATATATAAATAAATAAATGTTATTCAAATAGGTCTGACATTAAACGCAACTATCTACTTATGGGCTTTGCTAGAACTGAATCATGGCGATGTAGAAGTACCCCTTTGTATCTGAAGGAATTACATTTCTCGACAAAGAAAGAGAACACATTTATGCAAATTGGATCTTGACAAAAACTCTAGGTAACAAGTATGTTTACTTATAAACCTACGTAATCAAATAAATAGGTATGTTAAATCAACATTGTAACCGTGCCTTTACCGCTGGTTTACATCCCAGAATATATAATACCCTCGACGATCTGGCGTATAAAACCAGATCTTGTTTGAACGTTTGTCAGACGAGGAATAATTGTTAATTACGTCTCAACGTTTTAAATCATAGGTAAGTAATACTACTGTATTATTGATGATGAATTGTTAAGTGGTTTTATTTTTGTTTTGGAAACAAATTTGTTTGGTAAAATAGAAAGAGAGTTTATTATTATTATTAAGTTTTGATATATGTTATATTATTGACAATGTGTCATGTTATTAGGAAATTAAATTTGTTTGTAATAAATAAAATATATCGGTGTTTTCAAACTGCTTGATATCTAGACACAGATTGTTTTTTTTATAATACAGTTACTTAACTGTTTACAAAAAAAAAAACACTTTAATTTGGTTCACTGAATTCTTCGATACACGGTTGTGTTTAGTTTTAAAAAAGGGTATATTTGATAAAAGGAAATATATTAAATAACAGATAATTCCAATAGTACTTCTCTCCAAAACACTAATTTTTTTCCATAGAAGTTTACCATTTATTGAAAGCAATTACATTTTAATTTGAAAATAATAATTTATTTTACAGAATTACAAAATGAACAATTTACGTATTGCATTTGTCATATTGGCATGTTTAACGGTGGAGATCAACTCGGAAGGTAGGCATAATCAATCATTGTCTTGAGAGAGAGAGAGAGAGAGAGAGAGAGAGAGAGGGGGGGGGTGGTAGAGACAGAGGGAGTTTATTCAATCTGAAAAATTGTTAATTTATTACTTATAAATTTATAAATGTTAATTTATAAATGTTAATTTATAAATGGAATATCATCAGGATGTGAACCTGATAAATATTTATATACATAACTCTATCATAATTCTGTATTTTTGTAATATTCCAGCAATAACTAATTGTGATAGTAAGGATGTTATGAATGGGGTTGGGTACAAGGCAAGTCCAAACAGTTGCCGAAAATTTATCCAGTGCCAGGAAGCTGATTCAACCCATAATGACACTAATAACGTTCTCATTACGGCCATGGAAAAGGACTGCGGCGACAGTCTTTTCTGGAACCAGCAAGTGAAGAATTGTGTGAGATTCCCCGAATCCGACTGTTATAATGGTAAATTTTTGACATCTGTGAATTATATGAAATTAGATACAATTTATATCAACATACCCATATTGAATTAATCCAACAGTTCATTATATTATTCAACTACGATACCAACGCGGTTTTATGTTGAACAACGGATTTGTTTCACGCGTCTTCGAGAACTATATTTCATATACCTTGATTGAATTGATTATAAACCCCTTCATTATAGCTTGCACTTTAGCTTTGACGTCACTGTTTGGGGCTACGATAATACCGTGTAATATAATTATGTTAATATATGTTTCTTCATACAATGTATGTTTTAATATACGTTTCGTCATACAATATATGTTAATATATATTTTCTAGTACTAATATATGTTTTAATATATGTTTTCTCGTATTATTGTATATTTTAATATATGTTTTCTCGCACTAATGTATGTTTTAATATATGTTTTCTCGTACTAATGTATGTTTTAATATATGTTTTCTCGTACTAATGTATGTTTTATTATAGGTTTTCTCGTACTAATGTATGTTTTAATATAGGTTTTCTCGTACTAATGTATGTTTTAATGTATATTTTCTCGTACTAATGTATGTTTTAATATATGTTTTCTCGCACGAATGTATGTTTTAATATATGTTTTCTCGTACTAATGTATGTTTTAATATATATTTTCTCGTACTAATGTATGTTTTAATATATGTTAATATATGCTTTCTCGTATTAATGTATTTTCGCGTACTAATGTATGTTTAAATATATGTTATCACGTACTAGTGTATATTTTAATATATATTTTCTCATACTAATGTATGCTTTGAATTGTGTCGTTGTTTAGGAGAGTGTGATGATGCCACGTATCTCTTTGAATCAACCAGCAGTTGTGGAGCTTACTTTATCTGTACCAATGCTTCTGTTTCATCTGGATGCTGTCCAGAAAGCGCAACTGCCTTCGACCCAATCAGGAAAGAATGCGTCTTTTCATCAACATGCGAGTACAAATGTAACTCAAACGCCACCGAATCAGGTAACTTTTTAAATATTTTAAAAACCTCGTGCTTAGCTATAGTTATACCCAACGTTTACGAAACGTTTATGAAATACGTAATAATATACCGACTTAAAACTAGAACCAAAAACGGAAAAAAATAAACAAAAGTAGTACAATTCATATTTAAATTTACAGCATGCAGTGATATCTACAAGGTGCACGTTATGGATTCCGGTAAAGTCAATCCGTGTAAATATGAGGTTCATGAATCCAACCATGCGCCCAAAATCATGAGCTGTGGAGCTGGTACGAACTACGATGCTGAAAAGTGTGCTTGTTTAGGAGGAGGAGAAACAGAACCAAAACCATGTCCAGCTGGTAAGTTAATCCAGATCACTTCGAAGTTAAAAGTTGAGGATGTGTAAATAGATACATCACTATCCGGACGCAAAGCCACTTACCAGCCCCCAAATGTTTACTTTGATATTGTAGTGTATGTGACTAAATATCAGCACCAACTAAATGTAAATCACAGCCGTGTTTGACCCTAATACAAGTTCATTAATACAAAGCAGTAAATTAGTGTACTAGTATGTGAACGTTATTAGGTAAACACATCAAAATATTTTATGTTCCCATGATTTCATTATAGGTTGATATATTCGGTTCATATCAACCGCTGATGACGTCGTGACAGGTTGATTATCAACCGCTAAATACATCATCTCAGATCGATATATTCGTCTCATATCAACCGCTGATGACGTTGATGATCGAAATAATACAAAGAACACAGAAATACATTTTTATTCTTTTGACAATTAAAAATCTCTATGGTACAGTTACTAGAATTCAGCACCAAAACACACAGACAGCATACTTATTGGCATATTTAGATCGGTTCTCCATGTCTAAGATATCTTTCAAAATTATCTTTTCGTCCAAATTTCGATTATTTCAGCACACACTACAAGACTTGAAAGTATTTATAGCCCAAGAGTTCCTTTGTAAAGTATTTTGGGGTAGAATCCACTGAACACAGATGGTCAAATCCTCCTCTGCATTTTCACGGTCCAAAATGGCGAAAGTATAAACAATGCATTCATGTGATTAATTCTGTAATTTTTTTCGTTATTTGACGGAAACTACCGAGCAGTTATCCAATCATTTTTTACTTTTAATAAAAAAACCCATTCAATCTTAGGGTGAAATGGCGTTGTATTTGTAGGATATAAACCTACTCTCCCTCGGATTGATATGGTAGAGCACACTTGGGGTTCGCCCTCGTGTTCTCTACCATATCAACCTCGGGTAGGTTAATATCCTATACATACACGTAAATATATTAAAGAATACGCTTATAAATCACTCCATTTTTGGCCACCGCTTGATATATATTGATTATTGGTCACCGCTTGATATATATTGATATATATTGCAGAGGTATGTAAACCCGATTTTAAACTCACATTCGAAAACAACAGAATCAGAGATGTGGCTGGTGGAGCTTGGATTCAGAACGTTGGTCAAGTGTCGGTAACAGATGAAAGCGGAAACTTCAATGGAAACTCCAGACTTGCCGTTGTCCGATTTTCAAACGTGGATTTTGGTCTCCCAATGGCTGTTAAACTGAGGTACCTAGATACAGTTAACAAGGATGATATGACTGTATTGAGTACGGGTGGTGATATTGACCTTCCAGGACTTTTCATCAAGGCTGGTAATGGACGTGTTACTATCGGAGTTTTAACTGTAAGCGCAAATACGAATTTTGAACTTCCTTTGAGTTCTTCTGCCACAACAACCGTGAGTATGGTTTATAATAGTTACAAATCTATATAATTATATATAATACCGTAATGTTATGGCGTCCACATCTTTTGACATTTCTATACAAGATCTCCTTAAATATTACATGCGTCAAGTAACCGTGGATATGTAGACATTAACATCGACAACATCATTCTCTCGTCAGTAAATATACTTCTAAATGAGGCGAAGAGATGGTGGCTAAGGGGGTGAGACGCTGGCTCGCTAGCCTGGAGGTCGGGTGTTCGATTCTTGTATTGGCCGAGAAAGTTCATCCGAATTTTCCGACGTGCTTTCCTCTTGTCAGTGGTGCAGGACGGAGGGCCTGACAAGAGCATCTGTCTAGTAGTTCGGATGGGGACGAAAAACCGAGGTCCCGTGTATACATTGGCATGCACGTAAAAGATCCCTTGACAGTTGGAATTCCATTTAAGAGTAGGCCATAGTGCCGCTTCCCGGGCCAAACTGTATGACGTATGCCCGTCTTAATTAGCCCAATCGGAGCAGAGCAGTAGGAAGTTAAACCCCATTTCATTTCTAAATGTGGCATGCAGACACTAATATTATTTATTATGGTCATAAAACTACTACGTACTTTCCTATTATCAGTCAAAAAAAATGAACTTGATCTCAAGCAGCAGCAGCAGGAGCATCAAGTAAACCCTCCATGTGAGCAGGTTCCTTTAATGGGAAATGGTGTTTATGTTTCCCAGACGGATATCCTTAAAAACAGATCGTTTGTGTAGAATTGAGTTAAACCAAATCATTCGTTATTTCAGGGTATTAACACATGGAAAGAAGTTGTATTATATTATAATGGTTTGAGTCTATCTGGTGTTGTACGGTCTTTGGACACTTTCGGCAGCATCACACCGATCGAAGCTGTCTCTGTACCTGATAACGTAGAACGAAGTAAGATTTTAAATCTGTTATTGATATAAAACCATGTCGACTTGATTTAACATATCCGTTTGATGTTTATTGTTTACAATGTCTGTGTATCTTTATGTCTGTCTGGTCCGCGGGTTTGTCTCGTTAATTTTATTTATGTGTGACGCAACCCTGCTGAACTTCCTACTAGTCTGATAAACATAAGTGAACACTGTAAAGAAATAAGATTTATAGGTTCTTATTCAAAAATATACTCTTTCAATGGTCTTTTAATGTACGATTGTGTACATGCTGGATCATAAATGTTCAACTAGTATACTGCAAGACATCGGCTGAATCTGTTAAAAATCAACTGATATATACCACATGACATTTGGATCAGCTGAATCTGTTAAAAAAATTATGAGTTGTAAAATATCCCAAAATGTCTTGCAGGAATAAAGGCTGTAAGTGGAGCTCTTCAAATTGGTTATTCTCACCTTGGTAAATACTTCGAGGGTAAAGTCGATGATGTAAGTATATCTATATACATGTATATAAAATTATTTGAAATTGTATCGAAAGTTTTCCTGTGATTGTGGTGTGGATATCGAGAGTCAAATTAAAAACGTATCGATACTTTCCCTGTGATTGTGATGTAGATATCGAAAGTCAAATTTTAAACGCATAACAATAGTTTCCCTGTTATTGTGGTGTAGATATCGAGAGCCAAATTAAAACGTATCGATGGTTGTCTTGTGATTGTGGTGTCGTTATCGAGAGCCAAATTAAAACGTATCAATAGTTTCCCTGTTATTTAAACGATTCCCAAATGTTTTATTATAATTAGTAGCCCATCTTGATCTGGTTGTGGTTCTAGGGAAAGACCACGATATTAACCAGTTATATCAATTCTCAATGGGGCCGTCCCAGATTTCAATGAATATCCCAGATAAAATATGCCGTCTATTTCACCCGTTTGTAAATGTACGAATCAAAATATTGAGTCATACGAAAATGATCGAGGAATTTGATTAACGAGGTTAGTTAAGCCATTTAAAGAATTTCAACGACTTGATAATTGTGATAATATCTCTACCCTAGAACTCTATAAAAAATAAATAGAGATGGCTATCCTGAAACGTATACTGGAAATTGGGGAATTACAGCTAGAACTCTATAACAAATAAATAGAGATGGCTATCATGAAACGTATACCCCGGAATTTGGGGAATTACAGCTAACCAAACATGAACACTGAAAGTTTGTATTCCGTCAGAAAAGCATCACAGTTGCACAAGACGAGGATATGGGAAGATGGCTTCACCCAGAATTAACCAAAGAAAACAAAGTTGTTAAATATAAATAATTTATAATTTTCTTCTCTTACAGGTAAATGTGTGGATTGGTTGTAAGAACATTACACGTGCAGACTTATTCTAAACAATTAAACCCGACATAATCCTGTATCAAAATCGTCTACCAATCCATGTGTTCGTTTATTCTATGTTGTTCCTAACTTATAATGCATTTAAAATTATTAAAATGTTCGTAACGTAACTCATCCATGAAAAAAGTCTTTCAGTTTGTAATTTGAATAAAGCAAGTTTGAAAAATGTAATATTTTTTCTGTCATTTATATGTAACGCGAGTGTCACCGTTAATGCCCCCGTCAGACCGGGGTGGCGTCCTTACTGCGCTGCTGCGACCGTACGGCGACCAGAAAATGCACAAGGTCGCCGGCAAACGTGATCACAACACGCGAAAATGTCCCAAAAAATTAAAAACTTGAAAAAAGTCGTGTTCTCATACCTTTCCATGGTAGTGACCACAGCACGATAGCTAGCGTTTCCACCACGCTTATGGCGATCTTAACGTGCTCTAAAACCATTTTCCGTCGCCGTAGCAGCGAAGTATTAGCCAGTACGACTTTTTCGTCATGCTGGCTTACTGGCGACGCGCGACTTTAACAACACCGAAGACACCGTTATGGATGCACGACGCTTAGTTTGGTTACTGATCCTGGCCATGTGAAATCTAACCCGATAACACGACGCGTGTGTTCTATATTTAGTCATTGTTAAATAAACTGATGAATCAAGTTATATATACCAACAGCTACAACTAAACCACCCAATATTGTATTTATATTAACTGATGATCTAGATAGGTTTATATCTTTGGTTCGTGATTGTGTCAATAGCTTTGATGTGCACGCTAAAGAACCTTTGGCAGGAAAACTTTCCTTCATAGCACACATTGAGGCGTATGCTCCCCCCCCCCCCCCGTCTTCATTAGCCCAGTTGGTACAGAACGGTATGGCGTATGCCCCCTCCACCATCCACCACCCCCGTCGTCATTAGCCCAGTTGGTACAGAACGGTATGGCGTATGCCCCCTCCACCATCCACCACCCCCGTCGTCATTAGCGCAGTCGGTACAGAATGGTAGAACGTTAAACTCTATTACATTTATTCATCCATTGTTTCAAACAGAATAATTACATTTACTGACACAGATACAGTACTTTAATATGGTAGGTACAACACGCAAACAAAATCTCCAAGAAAAATAAAATGCCAGGGGCGGATCCAGAAATATTTGCAGGAAGGGGTTTGCCAGGTTCCTGTGGAGGAAATTAGATAGTTGACAATACATGATGAATACATCGTCTCCAAATTACGAAGGCATACATACATACTGAACTTTTTAAAGATTTGGCTACCTGTACACAAGATGTATATTTCTAATTCCCCGGGTCGGTGATATTTGACGTTTTGTTTCAATCAACAGCCAACATCTACATTTATACGTCATGGTGTCAGGGTCAACATATATTAACTTGCTTCAACTTCTCAGAATAATTAAATCAATGCTTATTTATATCAACACTTGATCTAGGCAAGTGATTAGAAGTAATTTCATATAAATATGTGATTGTACTTGATACGTTAGTCTTTTAGGTCTTTACGACTTAGTAGCATAAGGTACTAGTCGGTTATCCGCGGTCCTGTAAGTGTATGTAAATAATTATTATTATAAGTCTCCAGTATTAAAGATTTGTAGAACCACTCTAGATACAGTGCTAATGAAGACGGACAAAAGCCATACAATGTGCTATAGGGGGAAATTTACCCGGACAGCTTCTTATGCAATGAAATGGGGTTTAACGTCCGACTGTTCTGCTCCAACTGGGCTAATGATGACGTAGCCCCTTATGGGAAAACCACGCGGAAATCCCACTAGAAAAATATAAGCAATTGACATATGAGTTGCACGTGGGGTTTCGGGGTACCCATAGAATGCCCATGGGACGGTGCCCCCTTCAAAATAATAATAATAATAATGAGGTTTTATATAGCGTCTTCTCAATGTTGACGGGGGGGTTGGATGGCCGAATGGTTAGCACGTGCGTGCTGTATCATACGACCTGTCATTGAGTCAACTGGCGTGGTTTCGAATCCCCGGTTGTACGTGACAAGGAGTAAGGATGCCTGTCCATTCTCGTGGGTTTTCTCCGGGTCCTCCAGTTTCCTCCCACTGCTAAAGACCTGCGAATTATTGAAATAAAATTAAACCATATGTTAGTCCCGAAATGACCTAGTTTGAGTCGAGTGGACGTTAAACCCTATTTCTCTCTCTCTCTCTCTCTCTCTCTTCTCCATGTTGACACATGATCAAAACGCCTTTAGTAATGGCTCTACTGGTAAAACTGTCGAAACAGGTAAGTCTTTAGTGTGGATTTAAATTGATTAAAAGTTTGTTGATTCTTGATCAAACTTATGTGTCCGTGTTACTATTCGGGCTGCAGTATTAAGAACTTTCTGGATCTTGGCTAGAAGTGCTTGTGGGATTCCATAGAGTAAACGATTACAATAATCAATCCTTGATAAAAACATGATTTATAGTTGAATATAACCATCTACCATACTAGTAAATTACCATAAAAATATTACAGTAAGCTAAGAAAAATATACCTCACTGACAATTTATTCTTAATCTGGGTTGATATGGTCCAACTGTACCCATATCTTCTAGACAGGACTGATTCTTCTTCCATCAGAAAACCATCAGAATTTAGCGAGGGATTCTAAAAGTGCGAGAGACAGAGAGAGAGAGAGAGAGCGAGAGAGAGAGAGAGAGAGAGAGAGAGAGAGAGAGAGAGAGAGATGGGGTTTAACGTCCACTCGACACAAACTAGGTCATTTCAGGACTAACATAGGGTTTAATTTTATTTCCATAATTCGCTTGCGCTTAGGGGTCTTTAGTAGTGGGAGGAAACCGGAGGACCAGGGAAAAACCATGAAGTTGGACAGGTGACCCTACTCCTTGTCACGTACAACCGGGAAATCAATGACAGACTTTATGATACAGCGCGCACGTGCTCACCATTCAGCCATCCTCTCCCCACCCTAAAAGTGCGATACAATCATCCGGGCCGATGGCTTGTTGTGGGTTTATTAGGTAATTTGATTTATTCTTGAAATAAAAACACTAAGACTGTTTGTAGGGTAACATGTAATTTGGTCTAGAGTTGAAATTCAAACACCGGGGCAGTAAAACTGTTTATACCCCATCAATTTATTTATTACAATGGTTTGTTTACATCTGACAATGATATGTTCTCTAAGTAATATCTCAGAGGTTATTTCCCCTTGGTATTTAATAACCGATAATTCAACAGTCCTACAGCTTTATAAACCAGGGTGTGTAGGTTCCTTCTTCAGCTACAGGAAACTGAAAACAAAAATTGCTTCTATGTAACAACCAGTTTCAAAGAACCCGTTTCGATTCAAAAACTGAAAGCACTTAAGGATTTCCAAAAATTCTATGTAAGATCCCTTTTCTACGAACCTGTTTTCCGTTACGTCACAAACTGAACACCCTTAGTTAGGGCTTTTCCAGAATGGTTCCATGTTGCACTGGCAGCTTGTTAAGGATCCCTTGACAGTTGAAATCTAAATAGCGCCATAGTCTCATTGTTAGGGTTTTGCCAGAATGGTTCCATGTTGCAATGGCAGCATGTTAAAGGTCCATTGACAATTTCAAATCTAAATAGCACCGTAGTCTCATTGTTAGCAATTATTTTTTCAAATATATAGAATCAATGATTAAGCTTTTCAACTCAACTCAAATATAGAATCAATGAAGTAGATTTTCTACCCAGGATCTCTACTGTCAAAGAAATATATTTTAATTAGCCATGATGGAAAAATAAAACCCTTCATACTTGTTTAGTAAATTCATCTTGACATTCCATTCGTATTTTGTCTGGGGAAGCTGGACTATCCAGCCGGAAGTATCCACGTCTTCCAGTCTCGTGTCGAGCCGCCATTATGGCTGATTTGGTTGCTAGGAAGACTGAGACAGACAGTAACAATGGCGGTTCACCAATAGCCTACAATCAAAACAAAATAAAATATCCGATAATTTAATTTTCTATATACATATCCTCACTTTGCATAAACATAAAATTCTCTTTAACTAGTGAGACGACCATCTGCCAGTCTTTACCTAGACCTTGTCCAGTCCGCAATTGGGACACTGAAATAAAACATCCTCGTCATAACAGGGAAGGGGAACAATAAACCTTGGATTCAGGAGGATTGGTCGGTGTCCAGTAGCAAACATGGTCGGTATCAATATTCAAACATGGTCGGTATCAATATCAAAACATGGTCGTTATCAATATCCAAAACGTTAGAGAGAAAATTTGAGGTATATTACATGGGTTGTAACTGACTAAATTTGAGATATATTTTATGGATTGTAAGTTTATAATTATTGAACTGTTAATCTGAGATAATATGAGAAATTATTTCCACAGAATTAATTTATGTGATAAATATACACCCAAAGCGTAAACTTATGTACAGTCTCGTCAGATGAACCCAGTGGAAAGTGTTATTCGGTGTTCCAACACAGTTTGTTATTCCATATTTAATTAGCGGAAAATTTCCGTTTTTTTATATTCCCAGAAATTCTGTAGAGTTAATTATTTTCCTTTTTGTTTATTAATTAGTTATGTTAAGTTACTTATTCTCCCGCTATGGTTATTAATTAGTTAAGCTGAGTTAATTATTCTCCCGCTATGGTTATTAATTAGTTAAGCTGAGTTACTTATTCTCCCGCTATGGTTATTAATTAGTTAAGCTGAGTTAATTATTCTCCCGCTATGGTTATTAATTAGTTAAGTTGAGTTACTTATTTTCCCCGCTATGGTTATTAATTAGTTAAGTTGAGTTAATTATTCTCCCGCTATGGTTATTAATTAGTTAAGCTGAGTTACTTATTCTCCCGCTATGGTTATTAATTAGTTAAGCTGGGTTACTTATTCTCCCGCTATGATTATTAATTAGTTAAGCTGGGTTACTTATTCTCCCGCTATGGTTATTAATTAGTTAAGTTGAGTTACTTATTCTCCCGCTATGGTTATAAATAAGTTAAGTTGAGTTAATTATTCTCCCGCTATAATTATTAATTAGTTAAGTTGAGTTACTTATTCTCCCGCTATGGTTATTAATTAGTTAAGTTGAGTTACTTATTCTCCCGCTATGGTTATTAATTAGTTAAGTTAAGTTATATATTCTCCCGCTATGGTTATTAATTAGTTAAGTTAAGTTATATATTCTCCCGCTATGGTTATTAATTAGTTAAGTTGAGTTACTTATTCTCCCGCTATGGTTATTAATTAGTTAAGTTAAGTTATATATTCTCCCGCTATGGTTATTAATTAGTTAAGTTGAGTTAATTATTTTCCTGTTGAGTTACTTATTCTCCCGCTATGGTTATAAATAAGTTAAGTTGAGTTAATTAGTTTCCTGTTATGTTTATTAATTAGTTGCACTATAAAGAATGTGTAATTAATTAGTTGTACTATAAAGAATGTGTAATTAATTAGTTGTACTATAAAGAATGTGATATTAATTAGTTGCACTATAAAGAATGTGTAATTAATTACCTTTGATGAATAAACAGCTCTGTCATTTGGTTTTCCTTTCAATAGAGAAACATTGAATTGTTTAGGTATATTACTTATAGCTGGTAGTTTATAATTACCAGGTCCTTGTGTTAAAACCTGACCACTGGGTGAAATCTTGAAGTTTTCCAGCATATACAGACCATAACCCTACAAGAAAATAAAACAGAAATTTTAGTAGAATTTGTAAGGCAATCGAAGAATAAAATATGATTTAACGTCCTGTTTTCTGCATCAACCGGGATAATGAAGATGGTCATACACCAAACCTGGTGAAAGACTAAATGCTCCACATCCTGCACCACTGACAGTGCGAAATCCGATGAATTTTCTCGGCTAACTTTCTCGCGACTACAAGGTTAGCGAGCGAGCGCCTAAACCACCGGGATCGAACCCGCGATCACAAGGTTAGCGAGCCAACGCCTTACCAACCGATCCACCACAGCTCCTGATTTCCGAGACAATTCTATGTAAATCTAGCTTATGCCGATAATGTTCTCATATGTGACTAGTCCAGGCTAAATGCGACGGGTGACTAAAGAAAATTTGGGGAAAATTATCATATCACACAAAGCAAACAAAGAGAGCATTTTGTGCATTTCTGTTAGATATTCCTAGTTGTAATTTTAAAAAAAGGTCATTGACATACAGACACCACTCCCACAACACCATGTCTATTAACATACATACATCACGCCCGCAACACCATGCACATTGGCATACCACACGCCCACAACACCATGTCCATTAACATACACCACGCCCACAACACCATGTCCATTAACATACATACACCACACCCACAACACCATGTCTATTGACATACATATATACACCACGCCCATAACACCATGTCCATTAACATACATACACCACGCCCACTTACCATCATAAAAGCTCCCTCTATCTGTCCTATATCTATAGCAGGATTTAAACTTGTTCCAACATCAAATACAATATCTGTTCTTATAGCCTTTAAAATATATATAACTTTATATAATATCAGTTATTATAACCTATAAAATATAACAATGTACAATACCTATAAAATATATAGAGATACAGTAAGATATTATGTATATGTCTACACCAATTTCTTACTTTGCTTTTTTTAAAAAATGATAAACGTCCTAATTTTCTACACCAACCGGGCTACTGAAGGAGGGTTTAAAACATGTAGGTGCTATGAGGGAGCTGTGAATTCTGCCAATTGTATACACGGGGGAGGGGGGGGTGCTCAGGTTTTTCTTCCCATTCGAAGGACGAGACGCATTCCCTTGCCGAAACTCCCTAACACCACAGTCCAGGGGAACTTAAGACTTTTGTCGGCCAACTCACCATATTCACCGCACAAGAAGCCTAAATGGAATTTCCAACCAATGTATTGGATATTTAGAGCGCTGGACCAATTGTCCCAAATTGCCAACTTTAATTGTGGTAGGATGATCCTTGTATGGTTATCAAATAAGAGGAATCAGACATAATTTGGTCTAATTCTGTTCAGTTTTTAGAAAGATGTGAGAAATTGAAATCTGTCTAATATGTGTTAACCTTTACAGACAATAAAAACAACTGAACATGTCAGCAACCTTAAGTCGGGATATATTGGATATTGACCAACAAATACCGACCAGTGGATTCAACAGGTGAAGGGTAAACATACCATATCATCACCTGTTAAACAATCTATTTCAACAGGTAAAAGGTAAACATACCGTATGGTCACCTGTCAAACAATCAATTTCAACTTCAGAACATCCAGCACCATATGTATAATACATGAATTTATTCTCACTATTGGTGGCGGGATCAGGCCCAAGATCAGGTGCTCTGGAATCATGAGATGTAGTCATTAACGATGCTTAATCTCCTTGGAATCTAAACTGGGCCACGAGGCACATATTAATGTCATACGGATGTATATAACTGATTTTATTGTAATTTATAACCAATTATGGTCGTCGAAATATGTGTGCAGTCTAAATTGAATGAACAGATTTTTGTCATTCTTGAATAAATTGATATCTCTAAAACGTACTTATAAAACCCAGTTCTTGAATCAATTGATATCTATAAAACTTACTTATAAAATCCAGTTGCTGATAAACTAACACGATCTTCATAAGCCTTCTTTACCTATTTAAAATAAATATTACACAGACGTTTAAAAAGTGTCGAAGATTAAAAACCATGGAATCAACTGATCCTAGAAATATGATTATATAGACATAAAGTTATTGAAAAGTCTCGATTGATAAGTATGATTATATAGTCATAAAGTTATTGAATAGTCCTGATTGATAAATAATACAATAATGACAAAAATACAGACGTATGGTAACAATCGCAACTTTTATTTATACGTTACCTTGCGCCAAGCGAAGTATAAGGAGGATATTAAAATGGACTCTACCCTTCAGGTTTTTTCGGAGCTTGTCTCTTAATCCTTTCAAGATATCTTGATAAAACGTTATTATCATAGTAGTTGTGTCTTACAAGATATCTTGATAAAACGTTATTATGATAGTAGTTGTGTCTTACAAGATATCTTGATAAAACGTTATTATCATAGTAGTTGTGTCTTACAAGATATCTTGATAAAACGTTATTATCATAGTAGTTGTGTCTTACAAGATATCTTGATAAAACGTTATTATCATAGTAGTTGTGTCTTACAAGATATCTTGATAAAACGTTATTATCATAGTAGTTGTGTCTTACAAGATATCTTGATAAAACGTTATTATCATAGTAGTTGTGTCTTACAAGATATCTTGATAAAACGTTATTATCATAGTAGTTGTGTCTTACAAGATATCTTGATAAAACGTTATTATGATAGTAGTTGTGTCTTACAAGATATCTTGATAAAACACTCTTTTGATAGTAGTTGTGTCTTTTGCTAATAAGAAAATTCGCTCATTTAATGATATTTGTATTTCCATGGAAATAAATGTCTATAACCGAGTCTTGTTGTTTATCATTTAGAAGAATTAGATAAGTAAAGATAAATTAATTACTTACGACCGTTCTACTATCGTTTTACTTCATCAGTGATTGTAGAGAGGTGACTCATAGGTTTAATGCGATGGAACAGAGTTACTAAGACGAGTATGAAGGAACAAACGAGTATGAAGGAACAAACGACTGATGGAACAGGGTTACCAAGACAGTATGATAGGACAACCAACTGACGGAACAGGGTTACTAACACGAGTATGAAGGAACAACCGACCAATAAACGATATATTTATATTAATTCTTACCCAATCGTTCCACGACGAACCCTTTTCATTTTTATATGGTTCCAATCTTTTACTTAACGTCTCACAGGCAATCTGAAAAACAGAATTGGTGACGAGTTCTTAATCCTCCTAAGCACCATACAGTGTGCTATGAGGTAAATTTTGCCCTGACAGTGGCACTACGACCTACTCGTATTTCGCATTTTAACATGCTAGTAATGATATATACAGAACCTACGTTACTGTCAATCTGTCAACACAGGCACATATGAGTGGAACAAGTCATGCAATACATTGTTTCGACTACGTACGCCTGGGTTTTTCACTACTCTATGATTCTGCACGGCTATGTTTTTGAATACGTACGTCCGTTCATGATTCTGCACGGCTATGTTTTTGAATACGTACGCCATTGTTTTAACGTGGTGCTAACCTTTATTGCCATTCCATTAAGATCAGAACTGACACTTGCTGCTGAAGGTGGTGCATTAGGTACGATATTTGTAGAAGATTCACTGATATGGATTCTATCTGATGGTATACCAAGTGATGCACTAGCAACCTAAAACAAACAATAACACATAATACATTTATTATACTTTACTATTGTTAAATGAAGAAAACTTGATCATCCACATCCCCACACCCTTGGGTATGTTTCAAAACTTGATCATCCACATCCTAACACCCTTGGGTGTATTCCAGAAGTTATAGGAGATAGACAATACCTACGTTTAAATATATATTGAAAGGTTTAGGAGATACCCTCTGTAACAAAAATTAATAAAACCGAAAAATATGTTGTAATTGTAACCAGGAAAAATATGTTGTAATTGTAATCAGGCAAAGGTTGATGTGTGTATCATAAATATATCTTGAAGAGTTGATGAGATATGATCCGGAAATACGTCAAGCTCATTCAAAAATATTCGTCCTATAACTTCTTCCTTTGTGTGATATTAGACATGGAAACCTGGTTGTAAAATCCACTAAATATGTGAGTTTATTTTATATATTCAGATTATCACCATTAAAGGAGTTAAATCTCTAACTTAATATCATCTATAATTTTCGAAATCTAAAACATGAATTATAATTCAATATTGGTCCATTTCAATCAGTAATGATGTTGTTATCTTGCCGTAAAAAATAGAACCCTAGTATCCAGTATTTATGACCCAATGAGCATTTTAACATTGGTCCACGACGCCGTGTACCCTATGAACATAATGGTTTAGAGCGCCATTTGTAATGAACAAACAAAATATATCCCAGAATACCACGTAGAAGTAATTGAAAATGGCTGATTCACAAACGACAAAATAATAATTTAAAAAGAGGTGTAGAATGGACTAAGTTCAATATTTGGCTGTTCAATATGGACAAATCGAGAAATTTACCAAACATTATTGATTCAAAATTACAATTTTTATAAAAAAAAAAATGAAATGTTCATCACATTATGTACACTTATAAATATATGGTTTTAGACCCATTATCGTCTACTTTAAGGATCTAAAGAATAAAGGTATTCTATACGCCCTTTAAAATTACTACCATTACAATTCAAATTTCGATTACGTCTACAACAATACTATAGTTTCCAGATCATGAACTGTTAAGACATAACACTTCGCAGATGAGTGACCTAAGTGAGTAATATTCTGAATTCTGTGCCTTATCCAAATTTTTGCCTCCGTTAATGCTTTGGACATGTTCCATATACCGTCCCTATCCTGTTTTATCAAGACAAATCAACTGTCCACAAGAGACGAAGCGAATGGGGTGCCCATCAGCACCACAGGGTAAAGACAATTTCTTTTTTTTAAAAATTCACTTTTATGAGTAAAAGCAAGATTTACCTGTATCATGATTTACCCGTATCATTTACTTGTATCATCATTTACCCGTATCATTTACCTGTATCAATTATCTGTATCATCATTTACCTGTATCATCATTTACCTGTATCATCATTTACCTGTATCATCATTTACCTGTATATATTACCTGTACCTTTTTAAAATACAGACCCTGTCCCACAAACAAAACTTACCTGTATCATTTTAATATGAAGACCCTGTCCCACAAACAAAACTTACCTGTATCATTTTAATATGAAGACCTTGTCCCATTTCCACTCCTCCATGTGATAATAAAACAGATCCATCAGTATAAACATTCACCAGGGCACCTGCCTAAATATATATAACATGATATATAAACCAGGGCACCTGCCTAAATATATTTAACATGATATATAAACATTCACCAGGGCACCTGCCTAAATACAGATCCATCAGTATAAACATTCACCAGGGCACCTGCCTGAATATATATAACATGATATATAAACATTCACCAGGGCACCTGCCTAAATATATTTAACATGATATATAAACATTCACCAGGGCACCTGCCTAAATACCGATTATCAATATATATTAACATCACCCGTATATAAAATAAAACATGTTTTATAGGAATTAAAATAGGGTTTAACCTTATATATTTCACCTTTAATGGGACTAATGATGGTGCTAATAAACCAGCCTAAATTTTGTGGAATTCCAGATGTCAAGATTACACTAGTACTTAATGCATATAATAACCCCTGATATTGGTTGTAACATAACTTTAATTAAAGCCATATTCCTGTAACAATGGGACAAGACTTAGTCTTATCAAAGGAAATGAAGGGGGCGGGGTATGGTTTATACTTGCACCCGACTTAAAATTACCCAGTGTTTTAAACTAGTTTATATATAGCTGTCTCAAACGTTATTTCCATAAAACCAGTCGCATTAATACTAAATATAAACTAATTGTATTAAATTCTTACTTGGTTCAATTGTATCACTTCAAATGAAATGCCATATTTTAACGGAACTATGGAAATTCCCCTCTTTCTCCATCGATTGTCCCTGGAAATGAAAATGTGTTTGCTATGATATATAAATTCCTACAGTTTGAAAGGGTTTTGTAAATGGAGAATTTAACCAGACAGTGGCTTATCCACCTTCTCTGTACATGTGTTGTATAAGGATTTTGTAATGTAGAATTTACTCGGACGTTGGCTTATCCACCTTCTCTTTTTCGATGTCCAGCTGTCGATGGGTCTTTTAGGTGCACGCCAAGGTATACGTTACTTATCAGCCCTCCGGATGGACAAGGTACATTTTCTTGTCAGAATCACATGAGTGGAGAATGCTTGAGAAACCTCGAAGGTTCTTTTCAGCTCAAGTCAGAATGCGACCACAGGACATTCTAAGCAAGGGGTCAGTCCTCCACCACTTTGAAATGAATAATGGTTTTATAAGTAGGAGCAATTTGCCCCCTATTTGGAACCCTCTCCGGGACCAACAGTAGACTCATCAGTATACCCCCGTTTGGGTAAACATATGCAGGACCAACAGTGGAATCATTGAATTACCCATGGTTGGGAACCCTACAGTTGGAACATCAGCAGGCTCGCCAATATAACCCCGATCAGACGCCCTGGTTTGGAACCCAATCTCCAGGACCAACAGTGGATTCGCCAACCTACCCCTGGTTAGGAAATCCATCTCTATGACAAAAAGCAGACTCTCCAATTTACCCTCGGCTAGGAACACCATCTTCAGGACCACCAGTAGACACACAAATTTACCTTCGGTTGGGAACCGTATCGCACCGACCATCAGCCGAGTCACCAACAGTCACCTGTGGAAACTTAGCTATTTAGTTTTCGAACGATGGTTAAGTATGTAATCCTAACTTTTATAATGAATAAATTGATTTACCTGTTAAACTGGTCGACTTGTGTTTTCCTGTTGTAATAATCACTCTGGTTTAAACATTCTTCCCAACATGACTGAATATTACAATCTTTTATAATCTGGTTGACATGTGTTCTATCTCCTACTTTATAAAAATTCATTTCTCGAACCTAGAAAACATGCGATATAACATTCTATTTCAAATAAAAAAAACCCAAATAGGTGAGCATTTTTATTTTAGATATATAAAGCCTTTACTAATAGATCGATCATTTTTATTTTAGATATATAAAACCTTTACTAATAGATCGATCATTAATAAACAGAAATGATATTCCACAGAATTGTGTTATTGATTCAACATAAGGAATTTTTTAAAGGAAAATTAACCGTACCTTTGTGGGTTCGGCTCCCAACTGATCTATGACATGCTGTAAAACAGTTTCTATAATAAACATGGCCTGTATACTACCAGCAGCTCTCATGGCAGTATTAGATCTAATATTAGTTTTACACAGATGACCTGTCACACGGAAGTTGGGGATCTTATAAGCATTATCACATTTTATCATAATGGCGCCCATAATCTGAAATAACCAAACAGGCATCAATAATTACGTTAATAATCAAATTGTATGTACACAAAACTATCTTTTTCATCCCATTTAGTATTTGACAAGTCGAACGGTAAGCGCTCTGGCCTGGACTCCTGACTAGATATATCCTGCACTCTTCACCAGAACATAGGTGATATGAGTCGAACGGTGACCAGCCTGCACCCTTGACTTGATATATCCTGTACTCTTCCCTAGAATAGCTCCTGGGTTCGAATCCGAAGGTGGACCAAGAAGAATCCTATTTATTAGGGCTAGCGCTTAAAGGCTTGACAAGTGCTGCTTATTGACGTTCTTCGTTATACATTTGTTCAGTGCTTATGTTGAGATTTAACCTATCGCCCAAATCCTTACACATAACCCTAACCCTTGTTAGATTACATACTCACGGCAAAGGATACATCCATCGAATTACCACAATTAGCATAAATATTTAAATCTAAACTAGTAATACGTCCTTCACTGGAAAAACCAACCTGAAATATAAATTAGACTAGAATAACCAGTGTGATATATAAACTACTATCACACGATGTTACCAGTATGTATTCTAGGTCAGTATTCAAAGATAATTCAAATGAACTTGTAATTCAGCGAGTGAGGTGCTAGTTCATTAATCAGAAATTCCAGAATTCCATCCCTATATTTGTCAAGGATGTAGAATCTAGTCGGGTCTTTGTTCCATCCCTATATTTGTCAAGGATGTAGGATCTAGTCGGGTCTTTGTAATTTATATTAAAATTATCAATACTAAAACAAACTTTATATTTGACTGTAACAGGATGTCTGGTCCCAGTTATCACCATATCTTCATTTCGTTCTAAACAACATCTCATTGGTAGATTATATCTACAATAAAAAACATAATGTCATCTACAACATCAACCAACATCAGTCATTGACTGTAGGACCATTGATCTACAACATCAACCAACATCAGTCATTGACTGTAGGACCATTGATCTACAACATCAACCAACATTAGTCATTGACTGTAGGACCACTGATCTACAACATCAACCAACATCAGACATTGACTGTAGGACCATTGATCTACAACAGCAACCAACAGCAGTCATTGACTGATCTACAACATCAACTAACAGCAACCATTGACTGTGTGGGTACAGACATACATGTAGGACTATGTTTAGAGTTTCAATAATTAAAGGAGTTTAAACTTATTTAAAATACTGATATCTATCCACATTAAATAACATTTATGTTGTTGGGCTAGGTGAAAACGCCCCTTTATACAGAAACTTACTTTTTGGCGGCTACAGCTGCCATTAAGGCTATTGGTATGCTCTGTACTTCCTTTCCACCAAATCCGCCTCCTAGAATAAATGCAAATGTAACGTGGTTTAAATTCCATTTATACATTCTGGGCCAGTGAAGACGAGGGAAATTTTGCCCGACAGCGCTGTTACGGCCTATCTTATTTCGAATACCAACTGTCAAGTGTTCTTTTAAGTGTACGTAATTGTTTAAGCGGGGCCTCGGTTCTTCATTCCATCCAAACGACTAGTTACTGTCCTTGTTAGGTCCTGCACCACTTTCTCAATCAACATCGAGATCGAGCCCCGCATATGTCTTTGATTACGGGGTCCAGAAATGTTATCAAAGACCCTTGGTTGGGAACTAGTGGTCTTTTTTGAAACACGCTTTCCGTATTTTGTCGTGGGGATGAGAACATTTGTTAAAACACATACCTAGTCTTTTTACAACACATTTAACTTTATTGAACGGTATATCAAGTGTTTTAGCCACAGTTTCCTAAATATAAATATAAAATATATGAGTATATTGTACAATGTATAAATGTTATAATACAATGTATAAATATTATTATACAATGTATAAATGTTATCAAACAATGTATCAATATGAAATATATGATAGTGGGAACTAAACTATAAACAAGAGATCCCTAAAATTTATTAATGTTTTTTTTCATAAACACCGAAAAATCTATTAATTTTATTTAATATACATTAGTGTCCTAAATTTATGAATGGTTTTTTTTTTTTGGGGGGGGGGGGGAATTTATTATCAAGCCATCTATTTTTGTTATCAAACAATCTATTAATGGTATCAAAAAAGACATTAATGTTATCAAACAAGATATTCATACTATAGTAATGTAAAGACAGTACAAATGAGTTTAATGGGTTTAAGCACGGACAATTGTTTATAATATGAAGACAGAAAGACTTACTTGAATTCCTCCTGGAAATTGACCGGCTGAGAACAGATCCATTTCATCTCTTTCTTTAGGTACAGCTATAGATGATTGGGTCTCCAGATAGAAATGTTCCTGAGCTCCCATATAAACTTCTCCTTCTAGAACTTGTTCACATTCTTCAAATCCTTTATTTACATCCCCAGAATGGTAAATAGGGGATTTACTGAAATACGAATTATTCTCAATGGCGTCCTGAAAGTCAAATCAATGTAAAATATTATAAACAGCCCCTGTCTGTATACAGGTTATATATACTAATGTCCAAAAGAAAGTATACACACTAAAAATAAACGAATAACCCGCTGACAGATCGATATTCAACCATCCCCACGGTGTCATTCAACCCTGAACCCACCCAGTTCCACGGTGTCGCTCAACCAACCCACCCAGTTTCTATCCACGGTGTCATTCAACTCCCCAACCCAGTTCCGCGGGTTATCTGTTTGGACGCATCTGCAATGGTCCATTAATGCTTAATTCTAAAAGGACAGCTTTATGGACTTTGTATACAGATTTAACCTGATTTTTCAATAATTTGCTTGTAGATATGGGGAAACCGGAAGACCCAGAGAAAAACCACGAGGTTAGGCACCACCCCTCCTCAGCACCTACTCCATGTCAAAGCGAACACATTTAAATTGTAGCAAACCGGATTACACAAAGTTCATTTTAGAAAGAAGCATATAATGACATGGTGGTGTTGAAGATTCTGAATAACATAGTGGTGTTGGTGTAAATCTGTCCATGATATATTTACCTGTATAGTAAGTATTACTGGTAAATCTTTATAGGGTATTTACCTGTATAGTAAGTATAGCTGGTAAATCTTGATAATCTATTTTTATACTTCTACTTGCTTCACGTGCTATTTCAGCTGACGTCGCTACTACAGCTCCTATCAAACATCCAACACACGTTACCTGTTTTAAAATACAAGTAAACATATTCTCATATAAACCAGATAACACTCGCGGGTGCAAAGACACTTTGGTCACAATTTCGGCATATTAAAATCTATTTTGATGAGTTGCACAATAAAGGACGAGGCTTAAATATATCTAATGACTGTGACGAAATGATGTTATAACACGCATACTTCTTATGTTGTCACTTTTATCTGTGCACAGATATAGATAGAATGAACAACTCCGCCCCTACCACCAACTCTTGTTGTGTTAGTGGTAGCACTCCAATAATATTACCATATAGACTCCACCCTCATCCCTGTTGTGTAAGTGGTAGTTCTTCAATAATACCAACCAAACAACAACTGGATGAAAATACACAGATCACTGATATGGAATACAATCACAAGTATTTTATACATGTGACGTTTCGACAACAAAATATTCTCTTATCGTTTTGAAACACAAGTTATAATAGAACATTAATATGTAAGAAATGTTTTTTTGTAAAGGAGAGGCATATGTTACATCTTAGTATCATATATAAGATAAGTGTCTAAAGGAGAATCATATGCATCATATATAAGACGCACGGGTTGACGTGGGATTTCTACGGAAAAGTTCAATACACCATGTTTTAAGACGCACCTTTCTTCAGGCTGCATGAATCTCACTTGCTCAAACCAATAACATTGATAGGTCCGGTTGATGTAAGGTCACAAGATCTTTATTACTACAACGTACAAGTGAGAAACAATATTTGAAATATTTTGAAACATGGATAAAGCGAACAACCGAGTACTATACCTCTTCAACAGCAAATAAAGGTTCGTCACTAATATCTATATGATTGGAGCCTGGTATATCTTTATAACATATATAACCTTTAACTCCAGGTATCTGGAAAACATCTGATGTATCCACGTTTAGTAAGGTAGCATGGGGTCGAGAACTATAAACTGGTGATACGAACAGTTCACCTGGAAATATTAAAATGACATGGGCTCTAGAACAGTTCACCTGTAGATATTGACATGGAATGGGGTCGACAACTATAAACAGGTGATACGAACAGTTCACCTGGAATATCAAAATGACATGAATCTAGAACAGTTCACCTGGAAATATTAAAATGCCATGGGGTCTAGAAAAGTTCACCTGCAGCTGTAGATATTGACATGGAATGTGATCTAGAAAATTTAAAGTGGCATGGATCTAGGGTGAAGGTTAGGGTAGGGTCATCTGGAAATATTAGAGTGGCATGCATCTAGGGTGAAGGTTAGGGTAGGGTCATCTGGAAATATTAGAGTGGCATGCATCTAGGGTGAAGGTTAGGGTAGGATCATCTGGAAATATTAGAGTGGCATGCATCTAGGGTGAAGGTTAGGGTAGGATCATCTGGAAATATTAGAGTGGCATGCATCTAGGGTGAAGGTTAGGGTAGGGTCATCTGGAAATATTAGAGTGGCATGGATCTAGAACTATAGAATGGTATATTAAAGAGTACATGTAAGATGGAAAAATGGATTGTTGTTAGTAAGCCATTTATCCTACTAAATGTTCAATACACAGATTAATTCTAACATAATAAGCCCCATGACTTCCAATTCTCATCGATATCACACATTATAAAGAGCTGGCTTCTCTTCATCGAATTCCAACTAGCAAGGGTTCTTTAACGTACTCCTGGGTGTTTCGTCACATCTGGGATAACTTTGTTAACCTTCCCTGACAAGTAGGATGCCGAATATGAAATAATCAAAGGTTTCTCAAGGTCATTAGAGATTTAAGTCATTCGGTAACATCGATGGAATTAGACGTTAAATAAAACTATTTCACACTAAAACAAGAATATGATCTTCAGAAGCACAATAATAAATGGTAGGCCCACCTTTCAACGGGATCATATCATCAACGAATATAGCTTCTCCTGTAGCATGCTGATATGCTGATGAATGAACAACTGGACGTCCAATCGGATTATCATCTTTCTGTGCTGCCCCAACTAATTCATACACTTGACTTCCCTTACTGGGCCCTAATTCACGGGTTTCTATAGCACTAAGGTGGGATCGTGGTATTGTGTTTTCTTGAGTGATTCCCTGAAATAATAAAATCAAATGGGTTTTACATCAGTCAGGCTTTTGAAGATAGCATACGCCATGCAGTATGGTGTAAGGGGAGCAGGCTACGATCTACTCTTATTTTGATTTGCAACTGTCACGGGATCCTTAATATGCTACCATATCTCGGTTTATCATCCCCTCTGATCTATTAGATGCTGAACGAACCCGTGTTAATGATCCAGCACATACGCTTTCAGCCAGCATAGACACGTGTGTTGAGTTCTTGTCTCCTTGTCTACTGGTCTATTTTATATTAGACCATGGAGTAAATTATAAAGAATATAACAGATACCCTGTTATAAAGTTGTTTTACTTTATTATAAAGTTGTTGAGTGACTGTTACCTTATTATAAAGTTGTTGTTACCTTATTATAAAGTTGCTGTTACCTTATCATAAAGTTGGTGTTACCTTATTATAAAGTTGCTGTTACCTTATTATAAAGTTGCTGTTATCTTATTATAAAGTTGCTGTTATCTTATTATAAAGTTGTTGTTACCTTATTATAAAGTTGTTGTTACCTTATTAAAAAGTTGTTGTTACCTTATTATAAAGTTGTTGTTACCTTATTATAAAGTTGGTGTTACCTTATCATAAAGTTGGTGTTACCTTATTATAAAGTTGTTGTTACCTTATTATAAAGTTGTTGTTACCTTGTTATAAAGTTGTTGTTACCTTATTATAAAGTTGTTGTTACCTTATTATAGAGTTGTTGAGTGACTGTTAAATAGAATTTAAAGAAGAAGCTTGTGGTTAATGTTTTTCTGTATTCTACAATACCACCAGGTGCTCCAGGATCTAGTGGTAAATCTTCCTCCAGGTTCTGGCATACTGCTGGTACCAAATTATTCTCCCATTTCCTAAAAAGTAAAATATTCAAACGAGTGCCAATAAAAAACGGAACACAACATGGCAATTCTAGTCATTTTAAAGTATATTTATAAGAAAAGGTCCATTAGTTCAAAGTTAATGACAAAGGTCTTTACATACGGTTCCATAATTACCTTCCTACAAGTTTTTGCATTGTATTCTTTGCCATTACCGTTGTGGGCGCCATTCCGCCATAAGACAAGTATAAGTCTTTAATGACGTTAGACCCGGGTTCAAATACAACTCTCATTCCAGCATTAACTATAGCAATGTCATCATCTTTTCTTATTGCTTGTTTATAGCCTTCAAAATATTCATTCTGTAATCAAACAAGAGAAAACAATCCAGTTGTTCGGAGGAAAAATCCAGTTGTTCGGAGGTAAACTCCAGTTGTTCGGAGGTAAAATACAAGCACACTAGGATCCTAATAGGTATTCAAAATTCGCCAAAAAACAAGCACTCAGACCAGCCGGTAATTTTTTGTTGTTTTCGGATAAGCAAGATCTGTTTTCTCGAAGACTCCCACCATTTTGATCATTATCTAAATTTAGAAAATCAATTTGTAATTTGTACTTTAGACATAAAAAAATAATAAATATTATGGCATGTAAACTGACTAACGGGTAAATACCAGTGAATAATCTCCAATTTCTCATCTTGGTCCTATAATATTACCTTGTCAGTGTATGGGATTGTCACGGATAACACGACCTCTGTAGGTTTAATAACGGTCTGTCTGTATCCCTGGAAGAAATTCACATCCATTGACACCTTTCTTATACTATTACCTGTAATAAAACATTATAATATTTACCTGTAATAATATTTACCTGTAATAAAACAGTATAATCATTACCTGTAATAAATATTATAATCATTACCTGCTGTAATACATTATATGACATCTCTTACCTTTAGATAGCACCTGTAATACAGCTGTACAGGCTTGAAATATAGGATTTAAATCAGATATAGGACTAGCTGTCATTATATTCCCTCCAATAGCCTGAAAATATATAACATATCGATAATATTCCCTTCTATACACTGAAAATATATAACATATCAATTATATTCCCTCCTATAGACTGAAAATATATAACATATTAATTATATTCCCTCCAATAGAATGAAAATATATAACATATCGATTATATTCCCTCCTATAGACTGAAAATATATAACATATCGATTATATTCCCTCCTATAGACTTAAAATATATAACGTTTGTATTACAAAACTGGGGATAGCCTTATATTGGAAGAAATTACTAAATTATATTCCCTCCTATAGACTTAAAATATATAACATATTAATTATATTCCCTCCAATAGAATGAAAATATATAACATATCGATTATATTCCCTCCTATAGACTTAAAATATATAACATATCGATTATATTCCCTCCTATAGACTTAAAATATATAACGTTTGTATTACAAAACTGGGGATAGCCTTATATTGGAAGAAATTACTAAATTTCAAAACAGGGTATCTTTTACTCGAGAACCGTCGGCCTCTACGTAATACTCTACGTCAAAGCAGGGTATGTTTTACTCTGTTACAACGAAAAGGCCACCATGATATATCAAATATTTCTAGTAATGAATAATAATTTACATATGTAGAGCTCCAAATTCATCCCAAAGAATGATCAAAGCACAACGAGAAAATACTTATACGCATTTCGAGTGGACAAACTAATTCTCATAGCATTCGCGTGCGTTTTGAAAGTAGAAATACTTACGGCAGTGTTTCTAATCTGTTTTCCAGCGAACCATTTCAGCATTTCTACAACAGCTTTAAAAACTCTACATATCTCATCTATAAATAAACAAATAATCAACATGTTATAATATTTTACATCTCTCGTACATAAACAAATAACAAATATGTTAAAATAGTCTACATGTCCCGGAGAAATCTGTGGTGTGATGTTTGAAGACCAGGATTGTTCCTGTCTTGTCTGAATTCCATGTCCATTACTTAAATCAGACCAGGAAAGATGTCAGAAAAAAACACAATGAAACGACGTGTGGTTTAATGTGTGCGCTTTAGATCAGGAATAAAATCGGCTGTTTAACCTCGTGGCATTTCACTGTATCCTCCGGTTTCCTCCCACTGCTAATGACCCCCCAAAAGTAAAATGTGTTGATCTGGAAATGACCTAGACTGTGTTGCGTTGTTGTTAAACCCCATCTTCCTCTCAAACAACACTTTAGTACTACCAGTATTACCCGTGGAATTATCAATAATATTACCTGTAGAATTACCAATACTATTACCTGTACAATTACCAATGCTATTACTATTATTACCTGATGAATTATCAATAGCTTGTTGAAGAACTACCTCTACCTGAGATAGAGTTACAGATGCACCAATTTTAATACCATCATCAGTATAGGTTATATTGGTTAACTCAGGTATATTACAGGTGTGGATTAAAACACAGTATTTCATGTTCTTATATCTAGTTTCAATACCTTTAAAACACAGACAATAGAATTATTACACAATATATTACTTGATAAAACACAGATAATACAATTATTACACAATATATTACTTGATAAATGAAATGAAATAGGGTTTAACGTCCTATCTTTCTGCACCAACCGGGATAATGAAGAGAGGCATACGTTATACAGTGTACTATCTATATAGGAAAATTGCCCACTTTTCATCGAATTCCAACTGTCACGTGACCTCGTTGTTTGTCCCAGCAACTGTTGGGTGTCTAGCTATCCGTTCTGCACCATTGACAATACTAGGTTGAGTGTCTAGCTATCCGTTCTGCACCATTGACAATACTAAGAGGAATTTAACCATGGAGATATTTCAGATACTTACCAACTTCTGTGTTACCAATAATAATTTTAGAATGTGGATATTGATGTTTTAATTCTATTAATTCTGTGAGTGTTACTGGTCTATACCATCTTACACCATTACTCTCGAACAAAAGACTCTTGTTATTATAGGCACTGAAATTAACCTGAAATAAAGTAATACTATTAGTCTCGAACAACAGACTCTTGCTATTATAGGCACTGCAATTAACCTGAAATAAAGCAACTCCATTAGTCTCGAACTACAGACTCTTGTTATAATAGGTACTGTAATTTACCTGAAATAAAGTAATACCGTTAGTCTCGAACTACAGACTCTTGTTATAATAGGTACTGTAATTAACCTGTAATAAAGAAATAGACAAAATAGAGTAGACTTTATTCTCCTTTAACGTTTTGTACCAACCAAGCTAAATGAGAACGCCATGTATTCTGATAGAAAGAATGAGAACGCCAGCATGCATATATTGCTGGAAAAAAAGTTTGTTCCTACTCGTCAGTTACTTGATGGAACTTTTAGGTGTACGCCAAGGGGAAACTCTTGTTTTCTGTCTACCCGAATGACCAGGCCAGGAATGCACAGTCCTTATAAGCCTCCGAGGTACACCCCTCACAAACATAAGTCTGGCATAACAAACACTGAAGGTTCTTCTCGGTTAGCCCCCAAACTCATAATTAAATGATTGTCTAAATAGTAAATATTTAAATAGCTGATACCAGTTCTCCCTAACCCGGAAACATCCTCTACAACATATTTCTGACAGCAGTTTTACCTGCTCCGCACTCACATAATACGAATTACACATCTCTTTAATTACATGCAATACACTAACCTTCAAATCAGGTGGAAATATTGGTTCTTGTGTTGAGTCGTAAGATGGACTGTAATTCTCTCTCTGTAATAGCAATAAATATATCATACTATTATAATATCAAATATATGATCACTTATACTGTAACTATGCAATAAATATATCATACTATTATAATATCAAATATATGATCACTTAGACTGTAACTATGCAATAAATCCATCATACTATTATAATATCAAATATATGATCACTTAGACTGTAACTATGCAATAAATATATCATACTATTATAATATCAAATATATGATCACTTATACTGTAACTATGCAATAAATCCATCATACTATTTTATAATATCAAATATATGATCACTTATACTGTAACTATGCAATAAATCCATCATACTATTATAATATCAAATATATGATTACTTAGACTGTAACTATGCAATAAATATATCATACTATTATAATATCAAATATATGATTACTTAGACTGTAACTATGAAATAAATCCATCATACTATTATAATATCAAATATATGATCACTTAGACTGTAACTATGCAATAAATCCATCATACTATTATAATATCAAAGATATGATCACTTAGACTGTAACTATGCAATAAATCCATCATACTATTATAATATAAAAGATATGATCACTTAGACTGTAACTGAGCACCGAAATATCTGTACAAGCTCTTATCAAGATTTTGGAATAATTCATCATTATTATCATGAATTGAAACACATACACAGAAAGCAGCAGACTTGAACCCGGACTCAAGTGAGTGACAAAAGACTGGATATGGATGATTTAATTTCTATTCTATTTTCAGATTTGCCTAATTGTACATTGTCAGAAATATTTATACTACTAATGAAGTCGGGCATACGCCATACAGTGTGTTACGGTCTGAGATCTTAAACCTGAAGCCAATGGTATACAAAGGATCTCTCTTGTTCATCCTATCTGATGGCATCCGTCCTTTAACATCTGATGCCACCCATCCTTCACTACAGATGAAGTGAAACCAGGATGAAAACATACCAAAAGAACTTCCACAAACTGAACCCCGGTACCTTTAACAATTGACTTACCTTCTCATCATTACATTTGTTGTTTTTTCTGCTTTCAGTCTGATTTTTACAACAGTTGTCTCCCATAGCACATGCTTCCTGTAAAATATATAACAATGCAATAAAGTGTACGATGAACGGTATAATCTGTCTTGCTGTAGTTATAGAAAGTTTCAATAATACCAGGGATTGATTTATATGATATAATAGGTTACCTTAGAGAATGTTCTATAGCCGTCTAGGATTGGTCTATATCCCGTACAGCGACACAGATTACCTACAAATTAAAATATATTACATTATATCAAGTTAATAAATCTGTTGAATGTTCTTGGATCCCTTTATTCTAGTCCAAATATCTGAAGATCTGTGATGTCTTAGACAACTATCTGAAGATCTGTGATACATTAGACAAGAGAGTATAGGGCTTGCTAACAAATCAGGAGCTCCTTGGGATTTTCAGTTTCCCTTGTCAGTGGTACAGGACAGTGCAAGGAACGGGTGGTACATGATCTCGATGGTCTGTCAGTGGTACAGGACAGTGCAAGAAACGGGTGGTACATGATCTTGATGGTCTGTCAGTGGAAAAGGACGGTGCAAGGAACAGGTGGTACGTGATCCCGACGACCTGTGTACACGTGAAACGTAATCAGATTATCCTATCCTCTAGATATTTCTCTATTATTATCATTATCCTACCGTCTAGATATATCATTATCATTATCCTACCTTCTAGACATTTCTCTATCATTATCATTATCCTACCTTCTTGACATTACTTTATAATTATCATTATCCTACCCTCTAGATATTACTTTATCATTATCATTATCCTACCTTCTAGATATTTCTCTATCATTATCCTACTTTCTAGACATTACTTTATCATTATCCTACCTTCTAGATATTACGTTATCATTATCCTACCCTCTAGACATTTCTCTATCATTATCCTACCTTCTAGATATTTCTCTATTTCTATCATCGATGGTTGTGGATTGTTACGTAATAAAGTATACATCGACATAACCATACCAGGTGTACAGAAACCACACTGGGATCCATGATGCTTTGCTATTTGTTCCTAAAAATAGAATTTTATCAATTGCTATAATCCATGGGCTTTAGAATTATTCGTATTAGATTACTTACACTCGACCATGAGCCGTAGTAGACTAGCGTCCAGGATACACAAATGTTATGACACAAGTGATAGGATCCGGGGACCCACTGTACAAATATTCTGTGATGTACTAGGAACAGGAATAAAAGCTTCATTCAAAATGAAAACAAACTCTCAACACGGCAAGTAATCTAGTATAAAAACCAACGTGGATAAGTAATAACGCAAAGCTATAAAAACAAAAAAACAACCTGGATAAGTAAAAAATTAATGTTACCTGAGCAGGATGTAATCTGGTACGAAGACTACCAATACCTTCTGTAGTTGTAACAGCTAGACCATGTACAGAACAAACTGGTGTTAAACACGCGTTCACGGAATAATGTCTGATTTATATATATAAGGATAATTCATTTACTAATTGAAAACCATCATTTATGCACATAAATCGGAAACAAAGGGGGCGGACGGCACCCTTGACCTTCCAATGACAGTGTAGAATACGAGATATTATGAGAAAACGAAACTAGCTTGATTCATCCTTCCCACGCCCAAGCTACCGATCAGTTTTTCAGATAAATTTTATTGATATTGAAAAAAATTATTTATCAAATTATTATCTTTTTGCCAAGCGGGGCCGATGAAGCCGATGGGGAACGTCCGACGGTGGATATAACGATATAATATTATGGTATTCTGACGCCGAAAAAAGGAAGCCTCGTTCCCACCTACTTCTAATCAAATACCAACTGTTAACTGTTATTTACGTGAATACCAACTGTTAAGTGTTATTTATGTGAATACCAACTGTTAAGTGATATTTACGTGAATACCAACTGTTAAGTGTTATTTATGTGAATACCAACTGTTAAGTTACATTTACGTGAATACCAACTGTTAAGTGTTATTTACGTGAATACCAACTGTTAAGTGTTATTTATGTGAATACCAACTGTTAAGTGTTATTTATGTGAATACCAACTGTTAAGTGATATTTACGTGAATACCAACTGTTAAGTGTTATTTATGTGAATACCAACTGTTAAGTTACATTTACGTGAATACCAACTGTTAAGTGTTATTTACGTGAATACCAACTGTTAAGTGTTATTTATGTGAATACCAACTGTTAAGTGTTATTTATGTGAATACCAACAGTTAAGTACTATTTGCGTGAATACCACCTACTAAGTGTTATTTACGTGAATACCAACAGGAAACAAAATATTAATCGGTGTTTCTGGTGGCCTTACTCTAATTGTTCTGTAACAGCCGATTGGTTGTTGTTGTTGTTGTTTGTTTATAAAGGATACAGTATTGAGTTGTTTTCATCATCATATTTAGAGACCATTACAGTACATGCTCCACATCCACCTTCACCACAGACATTTTTACTTCCTGTAAGTTGTACTCCGATACAAAGTTAAGGAAGAAAATCTGCTGACTCTGATTTATTTGTATTTTTAAGAATAAATATAAAATTTACCACGGTTTAATCCACGCTTAAATTTACTCAAATTTCAACATTTGACTTAGTAGACAAAATCAAGATAATCCCCCGACTTAGATTTAATCAAGGGCAGATAATCCCCCAACTTGGATTTAATTGGATTAAAAAGAGGCCCATCAGCGATAATCATAGATGTCGCTGACTGCTGTGGATGCCGAAAGTTAATAAATCTTTATAAATACCGAAAGGAATTAATTCATTGATTGAACTGATATTTTTTTTTAGAAATTTAACTTTTATAATATTGTAGTTTGTAGTAAGGGATTTAAATCGTTTAAATGAGGATGAGATTGTGTAAGGGTTAGGGTTAGCGTTAAATGGAGATGAGATTGGGTAAGGGTTAGTGGCAAGGTTTAAGAATTGTGTGAGAAAGGATACGTTTAGATCTAAGATAATGTAACAATGTACAAGTTGGGTCGGGTTCTTTCTCTATCACCTGAAACAAAATAAATCACACCATTTAAAATACATGTAGCCTACTGCAGGGTAAATACATATAAAATAGAAGTCTGGTTTTATCCAGACACCGTATAATACAGTATCGGACACCGGTCTCCATTTCAGACGAAGACTGGCGGGATTAAGTTGTTTGAAAACGTATCATGTATATTGAGTTAGTTGCTCGGCACTAAAGTAGAAGAATTTAATTTACAATATAATTGAGATTGGCCCTTTAAAACAGTCCTAGTTTACTATGAATGGATTTTATGTGGCGGTTTAATATTAATAATACTCCCAGGCTAATGATTATTTTAAAATTCCACTCAACCGGTCGCGCGATATGTGGGTTGTTGTTTCATTTCCAAAAGTTACAAAAAAATAGTTACCTTTTCTCCATTAACAAAGAATATAAGGAAATCTGCTTTCGTCTCCATGGTGTACCGATATTCAGTTCATTACCAAACCTGGAAATTAGCTGAAAAACCATTTACAAAATCTGGAAATTAGCGCAAGACCATTTACAAAATATGGAAATTAGCCGCAAAACCATTTAATATCTGGGAGAAATAGAAATAGTTGCAAACAAATCAACAAAAAATTTAGCAGATAAATTTCAACATGTCACAATTTACTGGGCGATGTTTTCACCAGCCTATTATCGATTGATAATAAGTAGAGAAGCCTAGTCGAAACGTAACTATGTAATAAGCAATACATTCTAGTTCGATAACTAAATGTCATTAAAATAATTTACTAGTGAAATATAGTTAAAACTAACGATTGACTGTCCTCAATCATGATACAGTGTGTCAAAAACGGTGTACCATGCAATCATAATACATTGTGTCAACAACGGTGTACCATACAATCAGAATCTTCAGCTGAGAGGGTTTATTATTACAAGAGGTTTTTTACCACGTGCTGTCGTGTGATAGGATAACGGCCACTGTTGTCAGGTTACAGCTAAAGATAACGTTTTAGCCTCCCCTAGATTAAAATATATCCAATAATTTAAAATCAATGACATCTTATTTTGTGAACCCTATTTTCAATCAGATACCCGTTATTAATTAATTCACAAATTCACTTTAATCGCAAATGAATGACAATTGATTTAGCAAGCCCTATATTCAAGCGTATAATTAATTACGAATACACAATTAACAAATATACTTATGTCGCCAATGGCGTGCCATATTATCTATATTCCCGTAGTCTCGTACAAATAGCCGTTGTTGATCCAGATCGTATTCGCCAATTTAACCCATTCACTGTCTGTCATAACTGGCAGTAGGTTCATTGACTATTAATAGACCACAAACCAGATATAGCATGCATGTCGTACAATAAAATTACCTTTCTTACCATCTGTCACTGCATACAGCAAGTCACAACCGATTTATTCCTTAATACAACGAGCTCACAATGTCAGTCAATCGGTCACATTGAAACAACTTAACCTAAATATTCACATGGTATGGAAAAACAATGGTGACAACAAAAAGTAAAAATTGATTGCGGCATGAATCACTCGAGTTTTTGTTTTAGCCGTCCGAAGCGTGGGGGGAGAAGGGGGCAAGCCATAAGATTCTCTGAATTGGTCTCTTAGGGTTTTTTTTATGATCAGGGCGGTTTGAATCGTTGGGAAGGACTGTCCCCATTGTGGCTTTGCTACGCTAGAATCACGCCCTCCCACCCCAGTTTGGACCCCTCAGCGGGAGACAAGTCTTGATAATCACTGAAAACATTCGTTCTAACCATATGGTATATAAAATCGTCAATGACAAGTTGTGATAGGCAGGGGTTTTATTCTATAAGCACAGCGTTTCCACAAGTATCCTCTCTTATAGTTATCAAGCAGAACGACAGACGATATTTTTCAGAAGTAATTTTGGGACCTCTATAATATTGGGGCAACATCCCGATAATCACCTTCACCCATCTTAATACGGGTCTGATTCTAGCTCCCAAGCTAAACATTATACATTGTATAATGTACAAAGAACACTAAACTATACACCACGATATTACATCATCTACTTGAAGGGTTGTAAAGAAGCATGCACTACGATATTACACCATCTACTTGGAGGGTCGTAAAGTCTAGTAAACGTGGAGAATTAACTTTGTGATCGACCGACCTCATTTCTATTTGCTACAGAGAAATATGGATATAAAGCTACTCTTTAATCTAATACCAGATGATCTAGAAATTATTGTGAAGATGTTACTGGATGCTCGATGTAATGTGAACCCTCTGTAATTATATATTGCACCCCGCCATCCTCCCATATATAGATGAAGAGAGGCTCCAGACTGTTTCACTTATAATGTCCTCCAAATAACCCACCTTCTTCTCGACTAGAGGAAGGTGAAAGGCGTATGCTTAAACATGTTGGCTGAATTCCCCCCCCCCCCGCCCCCCCCCCAATATCTTCAGGCTCTAGGCTACAGCCTGCCAGGTCTATAGTAAATGTGCCACTCTCCCCATTTGCAAGATGGAGGGATGCTTTTAATGGGACTGATAAAACATGGCGACCTGCCATTCATCACTGAACGCATATTTACACTGATAGCCCCCCCCCCTCACCAACTCCCATTACAATGACTGACCATATCGAGACACCGTTCATTACCATGGCAACGGCATTTGACAACTGGCTATTTCTTAGTCCTGTACAATTAACTGAAGCTGGGTGTTACGTATTGGGAGAAATAAAATTCTGGCATTTCCCCTATTAGGTTTCCATGACATCGGTTTCCTCGAACTCCGACAACGCTCAACCCTAACCGCAGATTTCCAAAATAATGGACAGTCGGACAGTAAGAGAGTGGTGATGATGGGGTAAACATTGGACAGTGGTGATGATGGGGTAAATATGAGATAGGTAAAATAAAAGGCTTTTGATCTTTATTCTGTATTTTTGAATATATACATACAATTCTTTTAAATAAATAATTCAAACTGAAAAATTCAACAGTAATTAATTTGTTATATATATATGTTTGATTTGAACTATACATAACGTTTAAAATCGCAAGAATAAGTTTATAATATTATAGCGCTCTTTAAATCATTATAAGAATCATGTGTCTAGTTTGAAAGACATGTTTCCTCGATAGTCCAGAAGCTTTCAAACTTAAAGATTGGTTGACGTTCAAGCTATTGTAGACCCTGATTCGCATGTCGCATGACGTCCAAGCTATTTTAGGCACTGCTTCACGTTCTAACGTCATTTATTGTGAACTAACTTATTGTCTTTCTCTATCCACATAAGTTACAATAGATACCTCAATAAACCTAACCCTAACCCTAACCCTAGTTACAATAGATACCTCAATAAACCCCGGGGAGACATACCTTTCTCTATCCACATAGGTTACAATAGATACCTCAATAAACCCCGGGGAAACATACCTTTCTCTATCCACATAGGTTACAATAGATACCTCAATAAACCCCGGGGAAACATACCTTCATAAGTTACAATAGATACCTCAATAAACCCCAGGGAAACATACCTTTCAAGAAATGATTTAAGATCCAGAAAAATACAACACGTATTGTCAGTAATACCATAATCAACATGGATACTTTATGAAGCTGCATTTGAAAAAATTTAAGAACACAAACAATAAATGGTCCATCTTATTTTATATTCCAACTAAAGATTGGTGATGATATCATATATTCTCTTTTATAGTCTACCATCTTGAAATTCAACATATTTTTGAGGAATGGCAATACATATTGCCGATAGTGAAGACATCCTGATAAGATGCAGGATTGCATGACTTGATCAGTTTTGGATTTACTGAAACATATGTCTCTAAAAGTTTACATTAAACTTTGGAAGTATCCAAGGGCATCACAAAGACCAAATGGTGTTTAATTATATTTTGAACGGGTAAGAAGCTAATGCAATATATGCAATATACACAATATCATATTTCATATAAAATTCATATATTAATTTACAAACACAACAAAGATCAACATTTTAATCAGTTTAAAAGCATTTCATATATTTGATTAATTAATATGTGTATGGGTTATAATTTATATGAGGCAATTTAATGATATGTGAATTAATGATCTCGTGAATGATGAAGATGATGATGATGACAACAACAATCATGTAATGATCAGACCTCCACATCAAAATGTCTTTATGAATCGGGATTCTGTATGTGTGTTAAATTACTTAACTTGTGTTAAATTACTTAACTTGTGTTAAATTACTTAACCTCTGTTAAATTACTTAACTTGTGGTGAATTACGTAACTTGTGGTGAATTTATCTGGTAAAGGAATGGAATATTTTAACATCTCATTGACAATAATTTGATTAATTTGAGACTAACAAACCGTTAAGTTCAATGCTCAGAAACGAATTATCGTTCTGCATAATTCTCATCATTTCATTTTTTGTTTATTCTATGACCGACCAAGTTGCATGCGTTGGTTAGATGCTTGAACTTATTTATAATACCAGTTAGTCTTCTTGAGGTCTGATCACAGCATGTGTACAATAAGCAAAGTTCACAACCTTTTAACACATAATAAATAAACAATATACTATGGTTAGAAATCACATAATTAATGTTTGGGGCAGTATATACACCACTTTCACATTAACTAAACAAATTTTAGTGATTTAAAATTTCTTAATTTAAAAACTTCATAACACATTAACAAAGACCAGAATAGACCAACAGAATGGGTTGTTAAAGTCTATAGTCTTGATTATCATATAATCAGATAGATGTAAGAAGGAATGGGGATAAACATATATATATATATATATATATATATATATATATATATATATATATATATATATATATATACATGTATAAAGAGATCTAAAACAATGCTGGGTTGTTTTTATGGCAAGGGTTTTCAACAAAACAATTTTACAATATTCACGGGTTGAATTAAATCGATATTTAATTAAGTGAAATAAAATGAAAAATGCTTTTTGGTAAAAGTCAATTAATGATAGTAAGAAGTTACTATGTCCTATTTAAAAATAGAGAGTGAAACATTAAGTAATATATTGATGCTGAACAGGGACTCAAGTCTGTGTGAAATTTTTAGCATACTAAAAATGAATCAGGTTTTGCCTAGAGACTCTTCATGCTATATAACACAGACTGGTTATTTTGGTCAAACTGATTTCATTTTTAATTCTTCTGGGGCTTTGATAAATACATCATCAGTTTAATCTCAGGAACAATACTTTGGTCAAAACTAATGAGTTTAAAGCATACATTTTTTGTGTTTAAATTACTTTTTCGTTGAAGAAAAAGGAAGAACAATATTTCAAATCATTTAGTAATAAATGCAGATTAATATCTTGTGTTACAGTATTGGATGTAATTTCCATCGATCTTGATAGAATCATAAAAAACATTATTAGTCTAGTTTCAGATTTCTTTCACTTCTTTGTTGACAGTATTTTAAAAATCAATTACAGGATTTCTGACTTATTTCTATGAGTTTTAATTATTATAAATTCAAAATGCATATATTTCTTTGGAATGTAAAGGATTAAATTAAAAGATACAATTCATTATTAATAATATAAGCTAGATAGATATATATAATAAGATAATTTTAAACAAAAGCACTTTTATCATATCAAAAAATTTATAATTTGCATTAAAACGATACATGATTCCCGAAGCATATGAAGAGTTTTCCCCTAAAAAACAAGATCAACACCGGTTTACTTTATACTAATTTAAAAATAAATACCCGGTATAAATAGTATTACAAATTGGCATATTCCTTGCAAAAAAATTGAAATACTTGAAATTTGACATCTAGTGATAATTCTTAAAATAATTTTATTTTAAAACCACCTAATATGTAATTAATTTAATAAATCAATTTTGTCTGTCCTCTGAACAACCATGAAATGAATTTTTTTTTGGTTAAATTTTGCCCAAGAATATATAATACTGGTTTAAAACAATTTTATATTTAACTAAATTTTAATAATCATGTTTGTTGTCTGGACCATGAAAACGTCTTGCTTTTTTCTTAATTCTTGCCCGATTTTTATCTCATTTTCGGAAGAACCCTTCATATTATAACTAAATAAAATACATTTTACAATAAAATTACATAAACAAAACAAAATTAGACAAAATGAATAAAAATCTTTGTTAACCCTTTAAGCCCCTGACACATATAGATAATAACTACCCCAGCTACTCAAAAAAAAACCAGACAAAAAAAGGGATCTTTCTTATATTGAGGTTTTTTTTGTTGACGAGTTTCAAAACTACCGATGTACCTGCTGCCTCAAACCACCCGAGTCACAGAACTAGTGTATGTTCCTTCATTAGTTTAAAGCCATACACATGAATCAGGCAGTTTGAAGCCATACACATGAATCAGGCAGTTTGAAGCCATACACATGAATCAGGCAGTTTGAAGCCATACACATGAATCAGGCAGTTTGAAGCCATACACATGAATCAGGCAGTTTAAAGCCATACACATGAATCAGGCAGTTTAAAGCCATACACATGAATCAGGCAGTTTGAAGCCATACACATGAATCAGGCAGTTTGAAGCATTAGAGGAGTACAATCCAGGAGTTAAAGGGTTAAAGGTTAATGAAATAAACTGAATACTGGCACATTATTGGGACTCAAATTTTTTTTAAAAATTTGCATAACTTTGAGAATATTTTTGGTTTTAACATTTTTGATTTGATTTATAAATGTCTTTCTGTTCATCAAAATTGTTGTTCTTTTCAGATAATTCCAATTGTGGAAATAAATGACTGGACAATCATGAATAAAAGACTAATATGGAAGATGAAAACAGTCTGGTTAATGGGAAAACAAGCATCACATGTTCATCCTCATGCTTTATATAATACTGGTACATTTCTAGCTTACCACTTAATTGTTTCTATTGTCAAATTTGTAGAAAATTCTGAGAAATGATTTCAAGATACCCCCAAAAAACACCATTTTGAAATTTAAAATGTTTAAGTAATAATTACTATAGTAACACAACATCGAAACTCATGACAAATATGTTTTAGTGATGTCGGTAAATATTGATAACGAAGGATGATGTGTTGATAAAATGACGAATCAATATAAATAATACATCTTGAGGTTTATATATATTCAACAGAATCACAATTTTCACGGTCAAAATACGAAAAAATGAAATCACATGATGCTATGTCACAAGAAATGAAAGCAGGTGTCACTTAAACATGGCAGCTGAATGAATATTCATAAGCTGATTAATATACATATGTATCACGTAACCATGGAAGCACAGGTATAGTCGCTATGGAAACACAACAAAAATGGCTGATGACATTTGATGTCTTATGTAGCAGTTTATATTTGATTAAGTATTTGATGCCACGGTTACACAATGATCAATGGAATTATCCGAAGCATATAGTGTCTTAATAATAGGCACATGGACAACTTGACTGACGTTTTCAAATATAGGGTGAAACGTCTTCTAAATGAACAATTCAAAAGAATGTCATTGCTAACAAATAATGTCTGTTAACAAAGTCAAAAAATGAATATTTTGTGATTCTGTAAAATTCTTTCAATGGTTGGTCGTTTTTTTTATAAGTTTATTTAAAGTTTGTCCTTTGGTTTGAATCGCAAGTGTCCAGTTTTATCAATAATAGAATTGATCATTTCTCTGAAAACTTCTCCATCACCAGGACAACTATCAATGTCTCTCCACAAAGCTGTGTAGCACTGAAACCAGGGTAACCATCATAAATAACCATAATCTGTTGCTATGGAAACTTGTTCCTGAAAAAGTCAAATTATGAAAATTACATAAAGCGATTCCTTGGTCTTTTCTACTTTAGGTAGATTTATGAGTTCAGCAAAAGTCTTGTGTCTGGTCCCTGATATTTTAGGCCTGGGATAGATCTGGTTAACATTTGATGACCTAGTGTCCATGCCCCCATGAAAACGTTAAAAGCAAATAAAAAAAACCCCTCTGTTTATCGAGAAACTAAAAATGTTTGTAACAACTGGAGTTGTTTCCCTTTGTATTTACTAGGTTATACTGGTTAACAAATTACAACATGGGGTGGTGACGTGTCTCAATAATACACAGACACAGAAACCAAGTGAAATGGGGTTTAATGTCCTACTCCGACTGGGCTAATGAAGATGAGCATATACCATGCAGTGAGCTATGAGGTAAATTTTACCCAGGCAGCGGAGCCACAGCCAAGTCAATGACATTAACATTTGGTAAATTTTATTTTTATGTGTTTGAGAGATTTTTAATTAACTTGTGATATTGTGAAAGTTGAATCTCCATTTTATTCAGAATTTACAAAGATAAGATGAATTGAAAAATTTGACCTATATATAATAGTATCTAAAATTCCTTGATGAGCCTCTTTATAATCGAAACGAGGAGATACTCTCCAATTGATATCTATAATCCTAGGTTTAGGGTTAGGGTTATAATCGAAGCCAGGAGATTCTAATCTATTTAATATTGGAGAAATCTGATGCCATCGACAGTTGGTTATGGTCTGGATAAGTTAATTAATGTCTAATTAATAGTTTATATAACATTTCAGACCTAAAGAAAGATCTGCTATAGGCAGACTTAGTTCTTATATAATGCATGTTTAAATAAATGTTACATAATCAATTTGAGCGGAGCATATATTTCTAAAAAAAAATACAAATGACGCCATGTACACATTGGTGTGTGAGTAAAAGACTGTTAATAGTATTAATTTGATATAAGAGTACGCTGTAGCGCTATTGTAATTTAATATAAGAGTAGGCCGTAGCGCTACTGTAAATTGATATAAGAGTAGGCCGTAGCGCTACTGTAAATTGATATAAGAGTAGGCCGTAGCGCTACTGTAAATTGATATAAAAGTAGGCCGTCATGCTACTGTAATTTGATATGAGAGTAGGCAGTAGCGCTACTGTAATTCTATATAAGAGTAGGCCGTAGCGTTGCTGTAATTTGATATAAAAGTAGGCTGCCTGCTACTGTCAAGGCAAAATATCCCCTCATTGCACACTGTATGGCGTGTGGCTGTCTTCATTAGACCAGTCAGTGCAGTTAAACCCCATTTCATTTTATTTCTAATAAATCAAATTCTATCAAGCAAAGTAAATTTCTTCTCACAAATTTTGATAACCCTACAAATTGACTAAAATGATTTCATGCCAAAAATTTTCCACTGGAATGAAATACATTTATATGTTTGTTTGTTGGCACAATGTCTGATGTCATGGGTTAAATTATACTAATCTTTTCTATGTTTGTTAACCATGTCTACAGAAGTTTAGACATGATGACCCAGACATCCAATATTGACCGAGACAAATACACTAGCAATTGCATGGAATATTGATGAATAAACTGATGACAGGAATAAAGTTCAAAGCTGAATGAATTAATAGAAATACATAAATATGTAGATATTACAGCAACATCTAGTGGACAACATATATATAAAGCTCTACAGGACTGAAAAGAAAATCTTCCAGCAAATGCCCATGAGATGTAATGATCTATATGAAACCATGAAGCATTGAATTTGAGAGATAGAAATATAACATTAATAATACAGGAAGTTTATAGCAGACTAATTTTGTCTTTAGAACAGGTTAACATGACAGTTTAACATGATCTTAATATTCTAACTCAAAATTTCCCTCATAGCACACTTTATGGCATATACCTGTCTTCATTAGCCCAGCCAGAGCAGAAGAGAAGGACGTTAAGTCCCATTTCATTTCATTTGATTACCTCAAGGAAGCCTCTTGGCATGTTTTTGTATGAAGGGGTGGGTGGTCGAGTTGTATCAAGGTGGGTTGGTGGTCGAGTTGTATCAAGGGGGTGGGTGGTCGAGTTGTATCAAGGGTGTGGATTGTCATGTTGTATCAAGGGTGGTTGAGTAGTCAAATTTGTGCACTTTAGATGATAAGGCCTGTTGTTGAGTCAACTGGCGTGGTATTGATCCCAAGTAGTAGTGTCCCCTGCCCAATCTCACGGTTTGTCTCTGGTTTCCTGCTACCTGTGAAGACCCTTACATGCAGGCAACCCTTACATGCAAGCAATCCTTCACAAGATGATCAGTGTCTATAACTTGTTATTTTGTATTTCTGTTAGACTGGTTATCTGTTGTCTAGATGCTGTACCGACCATCATCTAAAGGGAGCCACTGACCCTAAAGGTAGTCACTGACCCTAAAGGGAGCAACTGACCCTAAACGTAGCCACCGACCCTAAAGGTAGCCACCGAACTAAAGGGAGCCACGTAAAGTCAATAAACTCCTGCTTACCTTTATTTGAACCTGTATGACTGGAATGTCCACCTTGCTTTTCCTCCCCTTTTTCTTTACCCCCTTCCTTTTCCTTTTCTTGTTCCTCCTCCCCCTCACCATCCTCTGAATTGGTCACGTAACTGTCTGTCACCTCCTCAGATACGGGGAAAACATTCGTTGATGTGTCGAGAGAAACAACTTTTATTTTCTCCATTCCCTCTTTACGTATTCGCTGTAATTCTGTATATTGCTCGTTGGTTGGTTCACAGTTGTGAGGGGAATGAAGATATGATTGGTAGAAAAACGTGTAATTCTGAAAACACTGGGGGACGGATCGAGCTACACAAAACCACATGTCAAATAATCGCCTGAAATATAAACAAATAAATAACCAATTACATTTAATATCAGTTTGTGTATCTCAGAGAGAGAGAAAGGGTTTAACTCCACTCCACACAAACTAGGTCATTTCGGGACTAACATTTGGTTTAATTTGGTTTCAATCTTTAGCAGCAGGAGGAAACTGGAGGATCCAGAGGTTGGACAGGCGAACCCACTCCTTGTCACATACAACCGGGGAATCGAAACCACGCCACTCGACTCAAACACAGATCTTATGATACAGCGCGCACGTGCTAACCATTCGGCCTTCTTTATCTCGGATCAATTACATTGTGGAATTACATTTAATTTCCACCAATGAAAATACAGTTTCCCCTTGAAAGGCATCCACAATAAAGGGGTCTCATATGAGTTTCTTTTGACCCAATGAAGTCAGACATTTCTTTAACCAATCAGCGTTGATGTTTCTAGTGCGTTACCTACAGTTCAATGTACCTCGCACCAAAAGCTCGCCATAACAGACCGTTTCATTGCCTAATCCCTCGTATCATCCAGAACACAAGTTAAATAACAACTTTTCCAGATCCTAGTGTAGTAAAGACAAGTAAACGATATTTTAAACCATTAAAAAGAAACGAAATAGGATCTGTGTTCTAATCAGATTGATTGCATATAGAGGTTTTCAGCACTAAGAGGAAGAATTATATATTTTATTCACTTATTACTAGCACGATTCACCCGGGGACCAAATTTACCAGGGGCCCAATTCGCAGAGGGCCTAAATTTGTCTGGTACCCAATTTGTTCGCCTAACACATTCACAGGTTCATGCTGGATAATTTGATATGTGACAGGTAGATCGCAGTAACGAAGCATGAAGGGTGAACACACACAGACAACCATCAGTTTGATTTTTTTTATTTCACAGTAAATATCATCTACATATTATAATGGATCTTAATTCAATACAGGTTTTAATGCGTATCTTATAAATATGTATGTTTCACTGTTATCAATGATATCATTACCATCCCCTACTGTGCAATTCATTTGTTTCACCAATAAACTTTTATCTCTAAATGTGAGCCACAGTGTCTCGGTGAATAAACTTACAAACAAGGAGGTCTCCGATTGGCTACAGTAGAGTCACAGTGTCTCGGTGAGTAAACTTGCTAACCAGGAGGTCTCCGATTGGCTACAATACATCTGGAATTTCCTTTGGGGTTCATCCTGTCAGTGATACAAGACGGAACCTCGATCAGATGAAATGAAAAACTAAGGACCTGTGTACACATTAGCGTTCTTGTAATCCAGGAATAATTTAACTTGAAGTACACAACGGTACATTAGCCCAGTCAGAGCAAAAAAGTAGGAGATTAAACCGTTTTTCATTTTATTTATCTATAAAATATTTTATATAAATCAAAACACATATTCAAAGTGCTGCTTAGATTGTGGGGGCAATAACAGTACTGAAATTGGGTTTTAAAATCTTACTATTCTGCTCTGACTGAACTAATATGGATACAGTAGGGGGAGGTGGTGGGGAAGGGGTGGGGAGAACAATCTGCATATCATTCTGCACCAACAGGGTGGGGGTGAGGAGAATAATCTATGTAGGCCTATTACAATGTTAAAGATTTGATAAATAGACTAAATGTTATTTGTGAAGAAATTACGACGAGGTAAAATAAATCAATAATGAGCTAGTGTAGGTCGGTGAATTCCTAGACTTAACATTATCCAATCAATTGGCAAATTACCAACAAATAAACTGCTAATTCAGCACAAAAAAATCACATTATAACTGATGATGTCAGCGTCTAAATTGAATCAGAAATGGTATAAAGTGTTCTTGTTGATAGATAAAGCATACCCTGCCTCAACGGTAAATGAAATAGAAGGATGTGAACTCCCCAAATGAGGAGTGATATGAGATGTTCTAGAAAGAGAAAGCATACCCAGTCTCATGTACAACACCTATACTATATATCTAGACTAAATGGTATCAGATGTTCTAGAAAGAGTAAGCATACCCTGTCTCATGTACAACATCTATCAATACTATATCTAGACTAAGTGGTATGAGGTGTTCAAGGAAGAGTCAGTATACCCTGTCTCAATGGTACATGACACCAGTCACTATGTCTAGGTAATTAATTAGGGTAATATAAAGTCAGTCTTAAAGCAAATATACTATCCCATTCCAAAATGAGGTGCAGGGATGAGGTACAAAATTGGAATGTTGTTAAAGGCTCAATACCACTCTTGTTGTAACTGAATAATATGTCCCAATCTTTATTCTGGTCAACAAATTGTACTATTTTACAATATTCCAATTAATTGATGATACAAATTTCATCTTAACACACCCAATTTAAAAAATTGGAAAAATTCAATAAATGATTTGAAAAGTCTAACGTAAACCTTTTCAAATGTGACTTGGATTTAAAAATATTTTTGAACCCTCTGGGCAAGTAAAATAGGATTTAATGGATAATTTACACAACAGGTAGGACACTTAAACATCTAATACTTAGAATAAGGCTATTATTTATTTTCTGGAGCTGTCAAGCCAGCAAGAGTGTTATTGTCCCTTTAAGTGTTGATTCAAGATGGATTTGGAGTTGGGGGTGATATGGGTGGGGTGGCAGGGTGTTAATCATGATAAAAACTAAATATGCCCTTAAATGGATCCTACCATTCAATTTGTTTTCATCAAGAAAGTATTTTATGGGATTATTTGGCTTACTGTCATCTCCTTGTTTATATGTAACAGCTCAACAGAGAGAAATGGGGTTTAACGTCCACTCGACACAAACTAGTTCATTTCGGAACTAATATATGGTTCAATTTTATTTCCATAATTCGCTTGTGCGTAGGGGTCTTTAGCAGTGGGAGGAAACCGGAAAATCTGGAAAAAACCCACGAGGTTGGACAGGCGACCCTACTCCTTGCCAAGAAAATCCGGGGAATCAAAACCACGCCAGTTGACTCAATGAGAATCGAACTGAATGACTCAGATTGTAACCAATAGGAATTGACCTACTGATCTCCGGTATAACGTTAAACAATACACAATGAGTTAATATTGACCGGGTTGCGTGGTATCTAACTTTTATACACTATATTGACCAGGCTGCGTGGTATCTGACTATTATACACTACTGTAATCTTACGCTGTTCAAACAACAATCATAAACGTCTAGCACGTGGAGGGTATTAGTGACTAATAGCCTGAGACTACAGAACATAATCTTAATGATGACTAGAACGACCAGCTCGATCTATAAGAAACGTAATAATTCTGATTCATGATGAAACGTTTAAAACTTGTCTTCTGCGTAGTTTGAGATATATAACTCTTCGTACAATAATCCATGATTTACGATGAAACGTAAATCAATCTTTAAATCAATCTACAGTCTAGAAGTTTTTGATGGTCCTCTCTGACAATTCTGCTGTAGAGTTTGAGAAACATTACTCTAGAAACTTCTCTGACTATTTAGTGAAAAGATGGGTACATGACCATATATAGACACCAGATGGAGTATTGATAGCATGAATAAGGAAAGAAATGGAGATGGAACCGGGTTAAAAATGGAGGCCAATTAACGGATTACTTTAACCCTTTAAAACACGAAGTGAAATGAATTTGAGTTTCTGCATCAACCGGTGTATTGAAGACAGGCAGGTGCCCTGATAATACCTGTATGTCCTACCTGCACCAACTGGTGTAATAAATACAGACAGGTGCCCTGATAATACCTGTATGTCCTACCTGCACCAACGGGTGTAATTAATACAGACAGGTGCCCTGACAATACCTGTACGTCCTACTTTTAATTATATTTCCAATTGTCCTGTCAATAGTCAGCGGATTTGTTTGCCAATTGAGTTTAACGATATAATCACCTCCACAGATCCTCACAACATCGGATATAATCACCTCCACAGATCCTCACAACATCCGATATTGTTTCATGAGAATTAAAAACTTGTTAACTTACGAACATATTCCTGTATGATTGTCATTTTTGTTGCCTTCTTGAAAAGCATTATTTTCTTTCTGGCACAGTTCCTGCATTACTGGAATATCCTTATTGGTACAAACAACATTACTCACAGCTGAAATAGACAAAACAACATCCATTATTACTTGAATAAAACATAATTAACAACCCACTTATTGGTAGAGCTACAAACAGTTAGGATTTCAGGTCACAAAATCTCCCCCCACCCCCGATCATCATATTATGAGTTATTAGAGCAGATAATGATAAACATCTGTGGTGAGATTATGAGTTATTAAAGTAGATAATGATAAAACACATAATCTGTGGTGAGATTGTGAGTTATTAGAGTAGATAATGATAAACATCTGTGGTAAGATTATGAGTTATTAGAGCAGATAATGAGATTATGAGTTATTAGAGTAGATAAGACATTAACATTGTATAATCATGTCATGAATAATGTTGAGTCACACATCTACACAATCATAAAACTATTACACTAATATATGACACCACCAGATATCTTTACAGGGGAATTTCACCCAGACAGCACGTGTCTAGCTATTAACTGTTCAGGAAAGAGGAATTTCACCCAGACAGCACATATCTAGCTATTTAACCTCTAATCGTGGCACCAATCTGACAGAAATTTTAATATAGGAATGAAATGCTTTATTTTAGAATAATACATATAATACATGTTTTAATACATGTTCAATGACTGGAGAGTTTTGCCAAGGCAGCATCTCTTCATCTATTTTCGCTTCAAATACAGGAATAATGGGAAAGGGTCATCAATACTCTTTCACCATATCAAAAAAGTGATTAATTGTAAATAATAAAATATTCAAAAACAACCTTTGGAGAAACTTTTTAATTCTTCAAGATCTTGATGACAAGAGTTTTATGAACAATGTTTATTACAAAATGAAAATCTTTTGAGAACAATAATCAATTACTATATGTTTTTAACGTTTGTTTTTCTACCCAACCAACAGAGATCTCTGAAACACTTAAATATCAGTTTAAAGAATGTGGTCTTGAATTCCAACTGATCAATCATAAATAATACCAGAGATGGATGTTAGGGAACATGAAATCATACCAGAGCTGGATGCTACGGAACATGAAATCCAGAAAGCGAGAGTTTTATTCTGTATCTTATATTCTAAATATCTTGGTTACATCTAAATAATTAAATATATTCACTAGCTATTTCTTTCCTCTAAGACTGGATATAATTGACTATAACCTTTGTTAATCTGTTTATAAACCCGATATTATTATTTACATCCCACTTCTACTCGTTGCCACTTGCATCCTTTGATAAAACTGTCCTGTTTAATTGCAATACATGCTTAAAAGTATCCGTGTATCAGAAATGTACAGAAAGAGTACTGATCATTTCTGATACATAGATACTTTTATACCGTTTTAGATATCTATCAAGCATTAAGTAGCGGACGTTTAGTCCGACCCAGATCGCAATTGATAACGAGGCTCTAACCAATGTACATGAAACAACTAGTCAAAATCATAGTAATAAAACAAAATGGGGGGAACTACATGGCAGTTCAAAAACATATACAATGGCATTGAATTAACATAACAACATATTACAAAAATCAATTATTATACATACCAATTGGCATCTATTTCATAATTTGGTTTGATTTATATTAATATGCAAAATATATAAATTAGAATATTGAATAATTATTTTAATTAATTGTGATGATAGAAGGCGCAGTTCTCTTGCTGGACACTTCACAGGCATTGAAAATAAGCAGGATGAAAAAAAACGCCTAGAAAGTCCTAAACTTTATTACAAATAAATTTCAACGGAAGAACCATCCGCCGATGCAAACTTTCACCAGGAATGACCCACGTTTCGCATTTCCTTTACACTACATTTAATAATATCGCAGTCCTCTACGCCATAGACATTGTTTTGACGATGTGGTCTAAACAAACACGTGATTGTTTTACGCTCAGAGTATCATAGCAAGACGCACGTGTAAATACTACTCAGGTCGTCTCTCCACTGCGAAATCTTTCTACCACGAAATGTAACGTGAGGCTCAGAAAGGGATAAATAATGAAAGAACAGAAAGTATTTGTCACTTTTCGGTTGAAACGACTAGATAATAAATACTATTTTTCACATTTTCACAATACTCGATAGAAATGTGATGTAAGTAACTTATTAGCACCTTTCCTCGGTGTATCGGTGAATATCAGGACAGTTTTGGTCGGGAGCCGCCTCGGCTGGGCCCCTCGACCAAAACTGTCCTGATATTCACCGATACACCTCGGAAAGTGTGCTAATAACTACTACATACACCAGTACAGTAAATCAAGCACCTTGTTTATATATATATATATATATATATATATATATATATATATATATATATATATATATCTCAGTATATTATTATATACACCTTGTTTATATATATATATATATAATATTTATTCCATGGTTATAACAATATTGTTTCAATTAGTCACCTTAAATGTCACGATTATATCCAACCTATAGAGTTATATAGATATAACAATTGCTAAAAATAATACAATACACATATTATAGACTAGTATCTTAATACCTGCCTCACCAATTTCCTTTTAGGATCTTTGAAAGAGAGAGGGTTCACGAATAGAGTGATACAGATATAACAGTTGGTCAAAATAATACAATATGCATATTCAATTGGTATGGTTATAAAATAAAAATAATAGACTATTATCTTAATACCTGCTCCACTAAATTATATTTTAGGACCTTTGAAAAAGAGAGGGTTCATGAATAGAGTGTAGGCCACACACAGCTGCTGATAGTGAAAAGAGAGAGAGAGAGAGAGAGATGTCCACCAAAATATGGTTTATTTTTATGGCAAAAATTAATTTGGGCACCACGATTCTTAAAGGTGCTAAGACAAAATGAAAATTTTATAATTGAAACACAAATGCTTTCGAGCGCCATTTGTATGAAGTGACACGATGAATAAGGCTAAACATATCCTGTGTAGGAGAATACTACTGGTGTAGACTGGAATAACCAGACACCAAAGACTGCCATTCAATTTGGACTCATCACGTATTTCGCTGAACATAACTGATTAGAAATTACAGTAAAAACAGAAACAATTGAATGTAAATCAGTGTATATATTATTTGCGACCCATTTGTGTCCATTTCTAAGTGCCAAAAAATAGTGATTTAGTTCCTTTAAAAGTGGGTGGGAAACCCACGCAGTTAGGATAGCAACCCCATTCCTGGTGTGGGAGGGAAAACCCACGCAGTTAGGATGGCAACCCTATTCCTGGTGTGGGATGGGAAACTCGCGCGCCTAGGATGGCAACCCTATCCTGCAGGTGTGTAAAAAGATGCGAAGAAAGAAAATGGACAATATAAAGTAAAGGTGACATGAGTTTTAATCTTGTTATAGTTACCCCTGCTAACCTGTTACACCTATATATACAACAATAGGTGTCAGGTAACATCACAGGTAAAAATATATCAACAAACCCTATTCTGTATAACCTTACCGATATCTGGAGATAATTAATGTTTAAAACAGGTAATCAGTTTGTAATCATGGTAACAAGGTATATTTTATATAATCATAAACTAACTTCTTTATCTCAGAGGCACCAACTGGTAAAACCAAACATTGACAACTTGACATGAACAATGTGGCAATACTGTTTAAAGTAAACATACAACTCAACAATTCAACTTGACAGGAGAGAGAGAGAGAGAGAGAGAGAGAGAGAGAGAGATGGGGTTTAAGTCCACTCAACACAAATTAGGTCATTTCAGGACTAACACATGGTCCAATTCTATTTCAATAATTCGCTTGCACGTAGGGGTCTTTAGTAATGGGAGGAAACAGGAGGACCCGGAGAAAATCCACGAATTTTGGACAGGGGACCCCACTCCTTGTCACGTACAACCGGGGATTCTAGTAAGATAACAACATCAATATTGATTGAAACCTTGTCACGTACAACCAGGGATTCGAAACCATGCCAGTTGACTCAATGACAAACTTTATGATACAGCACGCACGTGCTAACCATTCGGCCATCCAACCCCCAAACATGACAGGAACAATGGGGTACAACTGATAAAACTAAAGATAGACAGAACAGACAACTTGACATGATCAGATTATACACAAATAATTTGCTACTTAAACTTTATGACATGTTTCTTGAAAGACTACAGAAGTGTTATCATCAGATGGTCCAGAAAAAGAGCAAGGACACCCTGTTTGGTGTTATATCTTATACAAACATTCTCAGGGAATTTCCCCTTGCATCAGATATTGTAACTTAAATATGGTTGTATTTCTTTAATCTGTTATGCATCTTGTTTAAATGAAGTAAAATAATATTTAAAGAAACTTGAGATGTTTAATATAAATAAACCTTGACATCCAGCCTTTTATCGTTTGATGATACAAATCTAAGTTATTCCTTGACATCCAGCCTTTCATCGTTGGATGATATAAATCTACGTTTATATGTGGTAGGCTTATATATCCAGTCTTTCATTGTTTGATGATATAAATCTACTTTATTCCATGTGGTAGGCTTGTATGCTTAACATCAAATTAGCTATTTCGTAAATATTTGAATTCCACAGGAAGCCTGGGATTCCATGATTTATTTATTGATATTACTTGCTTCAATGGATTATTATTTTATTCTATTATAATTTCACATTGAAGATTATACAAAAGAGGGGATTAAGTTATTTAGGTGGACTTTCTTTGGAGAGGGGGGTGGGGCCTATAAATATCGGTGCATATTATGTATGCTAAGCGAGGCGAGTTGCAAAATTGTCATTTTCACACTATCTGGTTCAAACCCGGGGTATCCTGGACAAGTGTCAAGTAGCCATATCAGTTGACTGCTTACATCTCCAAAATATTGACAAATTCTAAATTCACTATATTTTTGTAAAAATTTTGAAAATTTGACAGTTGGAAATGCTCTCCTGGAGGAAAAAATTCACTTTGTCATTTTTATTTTTTTTTCTTCAAAAGTTTTGTCACAAGGGCCTGAAGGGGGCCCGGGGCCCAAGGCATTTGCCTCTGTT